ACATTCCAAAAGGTTTTTAATCTGTTAGTCACAGGATGTTAAGCCGGAAACAAAGGCGGGCAAGGAGTAGGTATTTAGGGGGCTAAAGATAGCCCAACATAAATGATAATTAGGCTCTGGACCTACAGTATTCCAAACTCTCCACAACCACTGAAGTTCTAATCAGCTGATCAGCATTTGTAGAATGTTCAGTTTCAAGATGCAGTTTTTCTGGAAACTTTTGTTCACACTTGTTAACTGCCTGAGTCTCCCCAGACTGACTGTTGGGGACCCCAGGAAAGCTTGCCTACAGTCCAGATCACTGTGACTGGAGGCCTTCTTGGGCACTGACAGGCCTTCCTGGGCACTGATATACACTCTCTTTCCCCCCTACCCCCCACCTCCAGGTCCCAAGGCCATGACCTGTCAGACATTGTCTGGGCTTCTTTGGGAGTCTGGTGTTGAGCTCTTAGCATTTTCAAACTGCCTTAGGACCTGTCTGCAGCCTCCAGGACATTGACCTGCCAGTTCTGGAGAGGCAGCTGGTGACCTGCTAGGAAGATACTCAACCCCTGAGGTAGTTCTGAGAAGACAGCTCCATTAGCTCTATCTCTGAGGTGGGAATGTGTTCTCTGGGGCCAGTAGAGCTACCCCTAGGTGAGCACTGGAGTTCTGAGCAGTCCCCTCCTGCTGCATCATTACCATGGCCTTGGGGCAGCCCAGCTCCTGCTCTGCCTGGTGCTGGGCAGTCTGAGACACTTGAGGCTTCAAGGTCCTAAGAAAAGTAGGAGGCACAGAGAACACGATGGTATCCCTCAAGAGGCTGAAGCGAGCACAGCCTGCTGTCTCTGAGCCTGTGGGGTGCTCTCTCCAGGTTGCCTGGAGCTGTTTCAGGCCCAGGGCTAGGTGGGGTGCAAGTTGGGAGCCTCTAGCCTGAAGTGGGGACACATCTCGCCACAGGAAGATGCTGACACCTTCAGGAGGCAGCACTAAGGTGCAGGCCCCTGGCTCTGAGTAGAGAAGCCCTGCAGCCTCTTCCACCCCAGCCAGTTCATCCTAGGGAGGTGGGAGCACCTGTTCTGGGGCCAAGGAAACCTGCCAGGGAGGAATCCCTGGCCTTTGTTGGGAGCTGAGGCTTTGCCATGTATGGGAGACATGTCAAGGTAGGGAAGCCCTCCTGTGAGGCAGAAGATAATATGCCACCTTGTGCAGGGGGCCTAGAATCTCAGCCGCTTCTACAGGACACTGAGGGAGGGAAGGAGGGCTGATGCAAGGCATACTGTCATCCCTGGATCCAAATTGTCATTTATTCCCCCATCCTGTCGTCACCCCCCCCCCCAATCAACTAAAGCAGGCCCCTTGTGGGAAACCTAAGGAAGTCTTCTTTGCCTCGGGCCTGCACTTCCACAAGTGGAACCCATAACTGTGCCCTGCACATGGGGCTCGGGGTATGCACTCCAGGGCCATTCTAAAGGCAGAGGATAATAGGACCAAGGAGACTACCTAGAATCCAGATGCAGGAATGAGGGCCCAAAGTTTGCGTGCAGAGGGATGGGTGGGACAGGGATCTAGCCAAGCTTGATCCCTGGGCCCTGCCTCCCAGAGCCAGATGGAGACAAGCTTCTAGGGCAAAGCCTCTGGGCCTGAGCGATGCATCTTCAGGTCACAGGCCGTGGTCAGCCCAACCCCCCTCCTGTGTACAAGAGTCCTGGCCACCTTGTTGAATGCAGACTTTGACCTGAGATGCCATGTCCATGCTCTGTGGTCCCAGGATGGCCAGTATTTACTTTGAAACTTTTTCTTTGCCTCTCTGTAGCTTGAGGTGCATCTAGGCTTTCTGTAGCTTGAGATGCATCCTTTGTATTGGTGTTTAGGTTTGTGGAACTCCTTGGAATGTCCCTTGAATGAGTTTAGGGCCATGATTTCTTTAATTCTTCCATTCCTATACTCCACTCCTGCCTGTGACCTTGCCTTCCCTCTTGTTTTCTATGTCCTAGTGGACTATGACTCTTAAGGACAGAGCTGCTGTTTATCATAGCCAGTCTTTCTACTGCCCAGTGGGCATTGGCCAAATTTGAGGGGGGAATCTTTCCTGGGCCCCATTCAAAGAATCACAAAGGTTCCTTCCCCAGGCCAATTCTGTGTCTCCTCCATGAGGCCCCTTCCTCTTCTCAGAAGGCTAATGAATATGAACTTTGCATTGGCCTCTGGCAAGGGCCATCTCTGTGCAGGACTAGGATCTCAGCTGCCCCTCTAGGACATTGAACATCCGTACCAGATGACAGAACTTCTAGTGCTGGTAACAGCCTGGCTTGCTTCCAGGGATCCTTACCGGTGGTGTTGCCCCTTTTTATCACTGCACTGTTCCTACGTGTTCTCAAGATAGGCAGACAGGACAGGCTTACTGGAGTTGCCTCAAAACGTCATAGGCTTCCAAATAAATACATTTGTATCCTAGACGGCCTGGCCACAGGACAGAGCCTTCTGTGCACATTGCCCCTCCACGCTACTCTATAATTTAAAATGTTTCCTTCTAAAGTAATCCCTGTGACCATTTTGAGCCACATGTTCCTTTTCCTGGATTAAGAACTTTCTAGATAAGTTCAGAGACTCTCAAAGATCTGCCTTTAAAAACTAAGCTTCAGAAAGTTTTTCATTTAGGAAACCAGAGGGACTTGAGGCTTCTTCTGTGTTTGTTAAGAGGTAACCTGGTGCCTGGGACACAGGCACAGTCCCCTGGGGGCTGGTACTACACAGGAAGTCCTGCAGGAAGCACCCTGGTGAGCGGAGCCTCCATTTTCTGACAGTACCTGAACCCTTACCTCTCTACTCAAAATGAAGGCTCTGTGTCACAAACCGGTTAGAACTGCCGGTTGCCATGGTTTTCACGTTGGAAGGCACAGTAAGGGTCACATGACCAAGGAGGGAAATGCCTTTGTCACATGACTATTTGGTGGCCTGATTAGCATACAGGAAGTTCACTCCCTGCTGGTGACTGGCTGGGATGAGTGATTACTGATGAACAGTGATGTCACCTCTGGGATGAGTTATTGATGAGTGACTGAGGTGGGGGCTGTCCTCTCTGGAGGCCACAGCTGGAGATGGTCCCTGCCCTTGCCCTTCCAGCAGATACAGATTTTATTAGACATTTCACCTCTGGAAGATAGAAAAGGGATAAATCCTTCTGGGTGGCTGTCATTCAATTTGCAAATGCCCAGGAAGCCTGTCCCTGGTCTGTAACTTTTTCCTAGGTGCCACCTGGGCCTGGCTATTTAGTTCACCCAGGTACCCACCTGGGCAAGAGTAGCAGGTGCAGCACTTTGCCAGACCTGTGCTGCTCTGTGGGGTAACTGGTGGTGGACCTGGAGATCTTGGGCTACGTAAGGATCCCTACCCTGTGGGGGTAACTATAAGGGGAAAGAGACCTGGAAAGTTTGATGAGATCTGAGGGACGTGCCCAGGGTCTCCTTAACTGACCTGTTCCAGACTTCAGAGTGTCAGCATTTCAAGAACCCTGGGCTCTATGAACTCCAGACTTGGGGCTACAGACTTTGAAAGGGAGGAGAACACTTTTCTGCCCTCTTTCCCTGGCTTGATAGTCTGGCAGCCACTGCACTAGATCAGGTTGGGGCCAACATTCAGGTGTAACTGCCATGTACCTCTGGGGTGGGACAAAGAGCTACAGAAGGAGGAGGACAAGGCTCCAGAGTCAGCATCTGACTGATCAGCTTGTTACCTGTACTTGCACCCCCTGAGGACATAGCTTCTTGGACCTGGTGGTGGGGATCCAGGGATTCTTGACCCAGGTACTCATCAACACTGGTCTAGCACAAACCGCTGGGACAAGTTTGCACTGTGACTTGCAGTTAGTAACTTTATCCGAGTTTGTCCCTTAGGTCACAGTGACACCTAGTGGACATGTCGTCCTCAGCTTTTTTTTCTACCCACAGTAGGGTGCTGAACCCTACACATGTCCCGTGGTAGTTTCTACCTTATCTGTGGATAGAACTGCTTTTGGGACTCATTGCCCCCACCTATGTGTCACAGCAACAACAGAGCACATTTATTTGGTCTGGAGGCTTTAGAAGCAACAGATGTATACGCCTTATCACACTTGTCACAACAGGAAGTCCAATATTGGATTGTCTGTGTTGGGTACAACAGGCCAGCAGATGAGAGACTGGCTCTTAGTGCGAGAAGGATGCTTGTTGTGGCAAGGCCATTCCTGCTGTGGCTGAGCTCCTAGTGAGACACAGTAGTAGTTGGTGAGAAGAGAAACTGATCGGTGAGGTTCACAGGGAGAAGTGAGCTTCCAGCATGCACTGCAGTGTATTAGCAGATGTGGGTGACAGTGATTTGTGTTTCATGGTACAGCTTGATCTGGGGCTTCTGTGCAGGCTTGGAGGCAGACGGTAGTAGGCAGGACAGCATTGGTGTCCTTAGAACAGATCCATCCGCCTCTGTAGAGGAGCAGAGGACCCAAGCATGAGGTCACCTAGGTGGAGGCCCAGGCATTTGAGAGATGGTATTTTTGGGGTTTGTTGAGTAGGAGTTCAGCAGATGGCCTTGGGTTCCCTTGTGGGAGGTGTGCACAGGTCAGCAGTGTAGTATTGAGCTGCTTTGGGGACCATATGGGGCGGAGTTAAGGGAGGGCTGGACTTCCCATTAGCAGCAGTTCCCAGCACTAGCAGTTGGCAGTTGATCTATTCACATCCTGTCACACCAAGGGTGGGCCAGTGCACCAGGATCTGAAGATAACTGCGTTTACCTGTGACCTGGCCCCACGATAGAACAGCACTTTCTAAAGTGTCTGTGTTGCATTCAGGCACACAGGCAGGGGTGGAGGGCCCTTAAGACTCATGAAGGCAATCCATGATAGATGTGGTGAGGATGCAGCTAGGGACCACGGGTCATGTGACTGACTAGGATGGTGTACTCTTCACCTGCTACCATGCTGTGCCAAGCAGGCAACTCTCTCTGGCACTCTGCTCTGTTAACCATCCACTATCTCTGTCCCACAGCGATATGAAGTCTGAGAGAAGACCCCCCTCACCTGACGTGATCGTGCTGTCTGACAGTGAGCAGCCATCAAGCCCAAGAGTGAATGGGCTGAATACAGCGACCATGAAGGACACCAGCACTGAGGCGCTCCTGGTGAGCCTCTGAGGGTCCTGTGTCCACTCTTGGGAGCCCTGCCACTTCTGACCTCTCAGAGCCTCTGCTGAGGGCCCCTCGCCCAACTTTGTGCTCTTGCCCTCACAGAAAAGCAGCCCGGAAGAGCGGGAGAGGATGATCAAGCAGCTGAAGGAGGAGCTGAGGCTGGAGGAAGCAAAGCTCGTCCTGTTGAAGAAGCTTCGGCAGAGTCAAATCCAAAAGGAAACCACAGCACAGAAGGTGTTTATGTTGCCCTACTCAGGAGCCCTATTAGAGCATGGGGATCTTGGCCTTGGAAAGGCTGGCTCAGGAGGGGTCATGGCCAACCTTTGAGAATGCAGGTGTACATGTTGAGTCAGGGTAAGCTTCAGTGTAGAATGTTCTACGTATGTAAAGCTGGCTTCTTCGACTCAAAGGAAATGGAGAATGTGTGTCTTTGACACTGCTTTAAACATGTTTGGGGTTAGGAGTTGGATTTGAAGCATGTTCTAACCACTGTGGGCAGCTGACCCTCCATTCCTGTGCATCAGACCTAGTGTTAATCACTTCACAGTTCTCAGCCCGCCCTCCACTGGCTCTTTGAAGAGAGTGACTTATGGCCAGTCGGGCTTCATGTGCAGCTTGTAGAGAGGCTGCTGGTTGGGAGTACAGTTGCCCTCCATACTCTTTGAACTCTCAGGAAAGTGAAGTCAGTGCCTCCTGTACTGAGTCCCAGTTGGCCTGTACTGCCTATCCCATGAGCAGGCAGACAGAGCCTGTCACTTTAAATCTTTTTATCAGTTACTGAAGACAGTGGAGTGAGCCAGACCTGTCACTGTGTCATCTCTAGCAGAGCATGTGGCTTTAAAATTGCTCAGACATACATAGTATTTTTCTCACTAAGGTTGAGACTGAGCTGTTCCAGCCCAGATGCCTTGGCCTTAGCCATGGGCTCCCTGGGCTTCATGTAGGAAGTGATTGTGGGCAGTAGTGTGGGTATGACTGTCCACATGCCAGCTCCCACTGCAGATGAGCCACCTTGAGGCTGGAAGCCAAACCCTTTTCCTGATCATCTGTGTGTCCTGCTTTCTTGCAGCCCACAGCTGCCTCAGGGAGCACTGTAACCACTCCTCCCCCGCTTGTGCGGGGTACCCAGAACATTCCTGCTGGCAAGACATCACTTCAGGTCAGTGTCCCTCCTGCTTCTTGGCCAGTACTACCGTTACCCATAGTTGGGAAAGCCCCTTCAGTGAGTTTCCTGAGCAACCCCAGTCAGAGGTCCTGTGGATATAAAGGCTGCCCTAACCCTAACCCTTCCAAATAAGCTGGCATGGGGCCCCCACATTCCAGAGGACCATGCTGTCACATGTACCCCAAACCAAGCATTTGTTACCTTAAAAACAAACCTCTAAAACTAGCCTGGGGCTGTGGCTCAGTTAAGAGTCTGCCTCATGCATGCACAGAGCCTTGACTGAGTTCCATTTCTAGTATCACATAAACTTGACTGGTGGCTCTGCCTATCATCCCAGCCCTGGGGGGATGTGGAGGCAGAATGAGTTTTAACAGAAAAGGAAAAATCATATGAATGTGACCTTGGTGTCATTGACAGACCTCCTCCGCCCGAATGCCCGGCAGCATCATCCCACCACCCCTGGTTCGAGGTGGGCAGCAGGTGTCCACTAAGTTGGGGCCACAGGCCAACTCCCAGGTGGTCATGCCACCGCTTGTCAGGGGGGCCCAGGTGAGCTGGGCATACATGCTGGGGCGGGACCAGGTGCACCCACCCCTTCTGTGGCCTGCCGAGCTTGGTCTCAGTGACATTTTTTGTTCCCTACCCCACAGCAGATCCACAACATCAGACAGCATTCCTCCACGGGGCCACCACCCCTCCTCCTGGCTCCCCGAGCCTCAGTGCCCAGCATGCAGATTCAGGGACAGAGGATCATTCAGCAGGGACTCATCCGTGTAGCCAATGTCCCCAACACTAGTCTGCTGGTCAACATCCCACAGGTGAGGCCAGTGTTAAGGTGGGGGTAGGAAGGGTTCACCAGTAGGTCTTGGGCACTATCCTGTCTGCCAGGCGTGGGCTGGTATTACTTGCTTGCTCCTTCTTGAGGGTGACAGGGCCTTGAAAGCCCCTCTACCCCCTGGGATGGGACTAGTGTTTCTCTGGAGTAGAAGTGTTAATGTCATGGGCAGATTGTCCTCTAGCAGAGTTGGGCAGCTTCCGAGAAAGTTGGGTGGGGTCTGTTCAGAAAAGGCAGTATGTGGAAGTCAGGAGGCTTTTGGGGAACAAGTGAGACAAGGGATGGGCCTAGAGACATTTAGAGGGGCACCAGTGCCTCAGGGGCCCAATACCTTTCCCAGAGTCTCTGCTCTGGCTGTCTCCAGATCTTGCTGACTTGTATCCTCAGGGAAGGCTGGGAGGACAGCACGTCACAGATCCTCCCACAGCACAGCAAGCTATTCTTAGTCATGTGTCCCTTCACCTCTGTACCGAGCCTCCGAGGTGGGGAGGGTCTGTCCCCAGCCTTGGATAGCGAGATGAGAAGAAAGGGACCAAGAGGCGGGCAGACCTTCTCTGACAGATGAAATTACTGGGTCTGCAGGCCTTTTGCTGACGAGTATGTTCTTTCTTCCTTGTTTGTCACTGTCCGCTCTCCTCAGACAAGACAGGGCTGGGCTCTGGACAGCCCTGACAAAGGGTCGTTGCTTGTTAGGGCCAGTTCAAGTGCATAGACAATGGACATCACTGCCTCCTACTTAAGAGGGTGTGTGTCCTAGGTATGACAAAGACTAGTGGAGCAGGCTGCTCCTCACGCCACAAACTTGTTCCACCCTTGCTATTCTTGGCCTGTCACCAGGTGGTCTGGTGCCAGAGTGGAGCCAGGACCCTGGCTAGTCAGAGGCTAGAGGTCTAGGCTGGGTCCCCATGCTGAGTGGGTGACCTGCCAGGCTGGTTGCCAAGACCCTCAGTGACCTGGAAGGGCCAAGCCTCCAAATCTCCACAGAATGGTGCTGGACTTAACCTTGTGTGTCTGTTCATCTGGGGAAGAAAGTGTATAGCCCTTTTCAGGCCTCCAGGGAATCTTCATCCTTCCATCCCTCCCCTCCCCGCAGGAGCCCAGGACACTGGTATGGTCAGCCTGGGTTTATGGTTTGGGGAATATAGCTATGGGGCAGGTGGAGACTACCCCAGTGGGGACATGAAGTCATGAGGGGGAGGCATTGCAGGAACCTCATTTTCCCATGAACCCAGACCAACAGCTGCCCCTCCAGGTCAGTCCTGCTGGGCTCCTGAGTGCCAAAGCCATCTCCTGAGATTCTGCTTTACCCAGCTCTCTGTAGCCACAGATCTTGATGGACTTGGGGATGGCTGGCTACCCAGATTTACTTTCATAAGGACTCCACTGCTGAGTGCTGCTGACACAGAGGAACCTCAGGCAGTGTGCTAAGCCTCACCTGGTATTTCCCACAGCCCACTGCAGCTTCGCTGAAGGGAACAACTGGTGCCTCCACTCAGGCCAACTCCACCCCCACCAGTGTGGCCTCTGTGGTTGCGTCTGCTGAGTCCCCAGCCAGCAGGCAGGCAGCTGCCAAGTTGGCACTGCGTAAGCAGCTAGAGAAGACATTGCTGGAGATACCCCCACCCAAGCCCCCCGCCCCAGAGATGAACTTCCTGCCCAGCGCTGCCAACAATGAGTTCATCTACCTGGTTGGACTGGAGGAGGTGGTACAGAACCTGTTAGAGACGCAAGGTGAGTGGGCTGCCTCACCTCCTTCCACAGCCTCTGACAAGACACATTCCGGAACTGGGCATCTTAGGTAGCTACATTGCCCAGACTTTGACTGCCCAGTCCAGAGTACAGAAAGGAAAGGGTAGGCATGGAGAGCTTTGCCTACTGCTTCGCTGGGGCTGTGGTGTTGAGTGCACACACTCCAGGCCCCTCTCAATCTCCTTGGAGTCCCTAGCCCTGCACACCTGGGCAGGGGCCACACCTAAGAGCAGCCCCGAGCACTGGTAGCCCACAGGCTCTGGAGTTTACTCGGAGCCTGAGCCGTCAGTCAAGTTTATGTGGTGCTGGCGATGGAACTCAATCCCTCAGTAATTCTTGCATACTCTTCGGTCACAGAGTTCCACAGGTCCTTGTGGCTAGATGCCATGCTCTGTAGCATGGGGCTAGCAGCCTCTACCTCTTGGAATTCTGGGAGAGACCAGGGGTGTACTGCTAGAAAATAAGGGCCCTGGCACTCTGTAGCAAGGAGGCGTTGACAAGGAGCTATTGGAGAAAAATGAACTTAGCTTCATGTAGGAAGCTAAGTGCACCTGAGTCCTGGGTTCCGTCTCCATCAGGCAGGGCTGGGAGTTGAGTGCCAGAAGCTGGCTCTGCCCCTCTGTTATTGGGGTCAAGCTGTTTCTCCTATTGCCATAAATATGACTAACGGTGAGACTCCAGAATGTAAGCTCATCCTCGGCTAGGTGTGAGGTGACCTTATCTGTGGGCAGTTTGTAGTTCCCATCTCTTCAACTCTGAAATGAAGGGCTGTCACATGCGTCTCAGTTCTCTTCTCTGCACAGTGATCAGAGGTAGTTAACTTGAGTGCTGGGCGGCATTACAGTGGCTGCAGAGCCAAGGATCCAGAGAAGTGGTGTCAACAGTGGGTGCAGCCCAGGCTCCTCCTGGAGTCCAGTCTTGGTTTCTGCTACTAGCCAGCCACATGATGAGAAAGCCACTTGTTCCTTTCCTGGCCTCAGCTGTCCTCATGGTGGGGGTGGGGTGTCCCCCAGAAGAGGGAGTTGAACATCCATTTGCCTACAAGGCACTTGCAGGGTAACTGTCATCCTTGGTACATCTGTTAGGGCACCTATGGGGCAAGATGAGGCCTGGTGTCATCATTGTCTACTTATTGGAGGGACAGGTGGGTAGGGAGGCCAGGCCAGCATCACCCGGGTCTTTGAATACTCAATATGAAGGATACCATGAAGTGTCTGGCACATGTTTGCTTCAGTTGGTGTGGTTGTGGAGTGTGCAGACCTTATCTACCTGCAGCTCATGCCTGAGAGGTATCCTCCCAGGCCACTGCCATAGCAGGGGGAGGGTTGTGGGGTTGGTTCCTGGCGTGCCCTTTTTGACAGAGCCACCCCCATATCTTGCAGCGGGCAGAATGTCTGCTGCCACAGCCGCTGCCGTGCTGTCCCGGGAGCCCTATATGTGTGTGCAGTGCAAGACGGACTTCACGTGTCGTTGGCGCGAAGAAAAGGGCGGGGCCATCATGTGTGAGAATTGCATGACCTCCAACCAGAAGAAGGCGCTCAAGGTGGAGCACACGAGCCGCCTGAAGGCCGCATTTGTGAAAGCACTGCAGCAGGAGCAGGAGATGGAGCAGAGGCTGCTGCAGCAAGGGGTGGGCACAGGCAGCATCAAGGCCGAGCCCACTGCCACACACCCTGTGCTGAAGCAGGTGAGAGCTTCATCCTTCTGTCCTTAGATGGCAGGATGTTTCGGAGGCATCCCCCTCCACCCATCCACCTGGTGGTTAACTGCAGGCTAAATTGCACTTAATAATGGCGTTTGGCAGTGAAAACATTAATTTGTTGTTCCTTTAGATTTTGTACCTTATACTCCTAACACACTGGCAAGTGCTTCTGTCTGAAAAGACTGCTGAGGCCTCACCTCCTTTGGGCATCAGCAGGCACACTCTGGCTAGGTGGAGCAGAGGAGCAGGTGTGAGGCCCACTCTCCTGGGCTCTGTTTTTGTCCCGTCTTCCCATTGTGTGGGCCTGGAGCTGCCCCCCTTTTATAGTTTGCAGTTTCTGTTTACTTGCACATTGTGTGCCTCACCACATTTTCTCACAGTCTCACACAGCATCTGGGGCCTGCAGGTGTTGGCATGGCAGTTGTGGTCAGGCCTGTCTAATGGGTCACTCTTCACCACCTCAGGTAGTCAGCACTGACATCGCTGACATACCTTTCAACCCCGTTTGTGTAGGTCATAAAGCCCCGACGTAAGTTGGCGTTCCGCTCAGGAGAGGCCCGCGACTGGAGTAACGGGGCCGTGCTACAGGTCAGAACCCGGCCGGGGCCTCGCCCAACTGCAGATGCAACTGCAGTTGCCAGCTGTCACTGCAGCGCCTCTCTCTCTCTCTCTCTCTCTCTCTCTCTCTCTCTCTCTCTCTCTCTCTCTCCCCCCCCCCCCCCCCCCCCCCCCCCTCTCCCTCCCTCTCTCTTTCTTTCTTCCGACACCAGCCCTCTCTCTCCGGTGCCTCTCTCTCTCTCTCTCTCTCTCTCTCTCTCTCTCTCTCTCTCTCTCTCTCTCTTCCCCCCTCCCCTCCCCCCTCCTTCCCCTCTCCATCTGTCGCTCTTTCATTCTTTCTCCCCCCCTTTTCTCCAAGTCTTGGTGAAACTCACCTGGCCGTCTGACTTTGGACTCTAGGGACCCAAGTGGGTGGGAAAAGGTCAGCCAGACAAGGAGAGGCCACGCCAAGCAGCCTGGCTGCCCCTGCCCCCCACAAACCTTGTCCAACCTCTTTCATACAGGCCTCAAGCCAACTGTCCCGGGGCTCGGCCACAACGCCCCGTGGTGTTCTACACACGTTCAGCCAGTCACCCAAACTGCAAAACGCAGCCACAACTCTGGTCAGCCGGACTGGCAGACATTCCGAGAGAGCCGTGGGCACCAGCAAGGGCACCACCACCAACTGGAAGAAGACACCCTTGAGTGCAGGTGTGCCTCCGCCTCTGTGGGACCTGCTGCCACCGGGCCACCCTCCTTTATTTGTTTGCTTTTGTTTTGAGACGGGCTCTGGGCCCGGACTTGTCTAGGGCACATGAGCTCATTTGGTCCCCTGACAGTTCCTCCCTTAACAAGGTCGCCCACACAAGTAGCACAGACGGTTGCACTCCCATCTTTCCTGAAAGCAGCACCTTCATTCCCATCCCTCCCAGGGTACAGGAACAGGAGACAGGCTGAGTAGGACTTGGCTTGTGACTTGCTCTCAGCCTGACCTGAGGTCTGAGCACCAGGCCCATGGCTACATGCCCATTGCCCCAGCCTTGCCTTCTCTTGGCAGCAGACCCATCTTACTTGCTCCTGGTTCCTACATACCCCAACCCTTTCCTGCCCAGTTAGCACTGGTTTGCTCCTGCTGCCATGGAGGGTAGTGGTACCAGCTCCTAATCTTCACTTCATCCTTCCTCCACTCCCTGTGTGAAATAGGCCATGTTGAACTTGGTGCAGAGCAAAACAGAACAGGGCTGGGCTGGGTACAACTGAGGCAGCAGTATGGCCCCCAGCTGTGGTCATCCCCTAGCCCACTCTGCTAGTCTGTGTTCCCTGTAGGAAAAATAGAGCTGGAGAAACTGTGCCTGTGGGAATTGAGAGCCAAGGAGCAGTACAGTGAAAAGAGGGATGATGAGCAGGGTCAGTGCACACCCAGCTTGTTCAAGAAATATGAGCCAAGGACTCATGGGCTTGGCTAAATTTTTTTGTGACATGGATGGGTAGCACACTCCTGTAATCCATAAGTGAGAGAGCCAGACACAGTGACATTTACCTCCTTATTCCTGCTCCTTGGGAGGCTAAGGCAAGGGGATCACTTGAGGCCGACCTTGGAAGTATGATGAGACTTCAGCTCACACATTTGACATAAGGGTAGAATTATTCCTTGTGACCACAGTTTTCCACAAGATTCCACTGCGCTGATAACGCATAGCCTTTGGGGTTCACTCCTATCCCAGCACCATGGTCAGCAGCAGACCAGATCTCTCACCATTGTCCCACACTTTGGGGTCACTTCAGTAGGGCCTGGGATTGAGGCAGTGGCGGTGCTCTGGGTTCCTTTGGGTGCATTCTAACGTGGGGGGTCTAGGCTGCATCTTGTACCTAGTCAGCTTCCCTTCACCAGGGGGCCACTGCCTGTCACGGTGCTGTGTTGCAGGTGGGACCCTTGCATTCGTCGGCCCAACCTTGGCAGTGCACAAGACCTCGTCAGCTGTGGACCGCCAACGAGAATACCTCCTTGACATGATCCCGCCACGCTCCATCCCCCAGTCTGCCACGTGGAAATAGTGCTAGCCTGACCCAGCGGAGGAGGACAGGCCCTCCGCCCTCCCACGGCCCCTGGTCTGGGACACACTGACGCCCTATTAGCCTGCTGCCTGAAAGACCTCGGGCCTTGGCTGCTGCCTTGCCATGGCCAGGAGAGGGCACTGCCCCAGCGACAAGAATCCAGGGACCTTCCCCCGTGGACCTTCTCCTTCCTCTTTGCCTTTAGTTTGCCTGACACCAGCAGAAACGTGGACCTTAGGGCCAGCTCTGCCCTGGCCTGTGTGGGTGGTGGCTCACCCTAGACACTGTGACATGCCTGTGCCAGGCTTGCGCCAGCCAGGGGCTCCCAAAGTTAAGCCGGGGTTTCCTTTTCTTTCGGCTTTTCCCATATTAGGCCCCAGTCTTTGCCTCTTCATGGGCATCTATAGGTTGAAAGTTTTTCTTTTGTTGTTTTCTTGTTTTTGTTTTTGTTTTGTAATCACCTCATGATGATGGAATTAAAAAGAGAACTGTGCAGACCCTGGGTCCCTGTTGTGCGGTGTGGTCCTGGCAGGCCCCAGCCCCAGAGGGCATTCCGAGTGGCAACACCCAGCAGTGGTCGTTGCCATCCTTACTCCGGCTGAACCTCTGCTGCTGCTTGCTACGAGACCCTTGGAGTCCACGTGTATCAGAATGATGGCAGCCCAGACCCCCACCAGACACCCAGGGGACTCCAAAGGAACATGGGGTCACCATGCTGGAGCTCAAGCTGGCTGCTGGTGGGGAGGCTGCTGGGGTTATTTTTTGTGATTTATTTTATTAAATTTTCCTTTCTTTTTGATGAACACAATCTCAAGCTGCCTGTGCCTGCCAAGAGGATGCTTGGCAGGTGGTGCCAGCCAGAGCCCTTAGAGCTGGGAGTCGTCAGGGTTTGCTTCTGACTTCCTTTCTCTCTTCCTTTTTAGTCCACAGCCATGTCTTTGAAAGGGCAGGTCTACTTTAGTTTTATTTTGTTTCCTTTTCCCTCACTCTTTGAAAACTGGTTCTGTGGTAAAAGGCAGAAGCCTCACCGAGTCCAGCACGTGGCATTTGCGGCGATGGGTCACCATTCCTGTCCCGCTCTGGCCCAAGCTTCCCTCGATGTGATGCAGTTGGGGACTTTAATTTAAACCCTGTTCTGAGGCCCATCGCCATCTGCAGATATGCTCTGCCACCTTCTAATAAAGGCTCATTTAACCCCGTGCTCGCTCTTGTGTGCAAATCTTCTCTCTAGGAATCATTTGGACACTTGAGAATTCTGATTTTGGAAAACTTAATTTTGTTGAAGATCCCAGGATGTTCAGTGATTTTGGGTTTGAGTGTGTCCCGTGTGTGACTGTTCCAACATCCAGGGATTTGGGAGAATGGATAGAAATTGGCTTTATTTTTGAAAGTGGGATGTTTTTACACATACATGTGTGCAAGCATTTCTTAATCCTTGCACATTTGTGGGCCTGGCAAGTCAATTCCTGTCTTCCTCCATCCCCAGTAGGTGGTCAACCCTCTTTGTTCAGTGATATGTTCAAAGTCTTCCAGCTCCTTGGGCAGGAGCACCAGGTGGCCTCTCCAGAGCCTTCCCAGTCCTCGGTTCTGTGCAGTTACCTGTGCACACCAACCCTGCATTTGGAAAAGTTCAGCATGTGCTGATGGTCTGAGCAGAGGGCTTGATCGTCCCAACCACACCTATCACAACCTCCTGTCCTGCAGCCTTCCAGCCTGGTGGCTTTCCTCCTGTCACCTAAACCCTGTGAACCTGGTAGACTTCCCCTCGCCAGGGGCAGGTGCCATCGCAGTGGAGAGGCCACAGGTCACCTGCACCCTGCTGCCTCCACCTCCATGCTATGGGATGTGTTCCACCAGGGGTGACATACTGTGATGAAGCATTTTATTAAAAAGGGATAGAACATGAGATGCCTTAATTTACTGTCTTGGAAGCACTGCCCATGTTCCCTTTGTACTGCACTAGTCTGAGGAGCCCCATAGTGATGCTCTAATGAAGTGCTGGACCAGGGAAGGGACTTGCTTGTTTTTAGGGTACTATGTTGGCCACAGAGCTGGTTCCATCCTGAGTGCTGGGTCCTGGGCTCCCTAGGAGTCCTGCCCCGCCCCACTTACAACCTCCCAAGGGAAATGAAAACTCTCTGGTCAGTGTGGCCACATGGAGCTGCCCCAGTTTCCTCTACATTGCTGGGGGTAGATTTGAATGGCTAAGTATAACACGTTTGTATACACTTAAACCACATGGTCTATAGTGTTTGGGATACAGACCTCTGACCAAATCCAAGTGCCCCCTGGGGTAGGAGAGTGGCCCTACCTGGGGCTGCCTTGCCCCAGGTCCTGACTACCAGAGACCTCTAGGAAGCCTGAGCTTGCCCTTGGCAGAGGGAGTGAGATCACAGTGCTGCCATGCCCCTAGGAGGATGGTTATTACCAAGCTGAATCACATTAACCTGAAGACTGAATAGAGCTGAGCCCCTTTCAAAAAGACAACAAACAGGTTTAATGATGTTTAATGTTACACTAGTGTAGGGTATGGGGGCTGGCGGTGTCACTTGTATTTATTGTGACTGAATCTTTGATAATGTTTTTAAAAAATGTTTGCCACCAAACCAGAATAGAAGTTCCGGTAAACAGACTGGAATCAGTGGCTGTATGTTGTATCACGGGGTAGTCTCACACGAAGAACAATAAAGAAATGGACCAAGTACCAACTGTAGTGTTCTTTTGTCAGCTCAGTCTCGGGGTCCCAAATATTTTATCAGTTTCTGGTAGCCCTTGTTAATAGGAGGAGGGGCGGGATTCACCTGCTGTGTGTGCAGGGTGTCTCCTACCCTGTCTGCCCTAGGTTTCCTATCGGATCCCATCTGACCTCTGGGCAGGTGGGGAACTGGGGTCAGAATCCCGATGAGTTTTACCCATCTGAGGACATCAGCCTCTGTGTTGGAGTGATTTTCTTTTCCAGAACACACAAGGGAGCTTTGTCCTTGGAATGTAATACACAGGTACATTGCAAGCACAGATGGAGCCATGGACTACCTCCAGAATCAGTTCCTGGTGAAAATTTAAGATGCTTAGTTTTGCATTTTAATTTTGAGGTGTTTTTGTATTTTTTATATGCATGAACATATTGCCTGCATGTATGTAAATACACCCATGTTGTGCAATGCCCGTGGAGAGTTCAGAGGAGGGTGTTGGGTTCCCTGGAACTGGAGTTACAGATGGTTGCTGCCACGTGGGTGCTGGGAACTGAACCCGGATCCCCTGCAAGAGCAGCTTTTAACCACTGAGCCATCTCTCCACCCCCCCCCCTTTAAAAGATGATCTAATGTAGCCCAGGCTAGCCTCAAAGGAGCTGTGCAGCCAAGGCAAGCATCCTCCTGCCTCTACCTCCCAAGTGTAGAGGTGACAGGCATGGGGTACCACGTACAATCACAGTTTTCTTTTTGCAGTGCTGGGAATGGAACCCAGCCTCTCTTTTTAAACCCCATCCTCCAACAGTAGGGATCAAACATTCTGGGACAAGGTCTCAGGTCCAACCCTGCAGTTTATACCTGCCACTCCCACACGGGGAACTGAGGTATGAAGTTGGTGAGTTGCAGACCAGCCTGAATTATAAGACCTGAGTTTTTTATGTTTTGTTGGGAAACAATGTCATCATATAGCCCAGGCTGGCCTGGAACTCACAATCCTCCTGCCTCTGCTTTCCAAGTGCTAAGATGATAGTTTAAGCCAGCTTGGAGTGACATATGTTAACATGTAGCCCTGTTTTTCTAGGTGCTCTTGGGCAGTTTTTGAGCCTTCCTGAGGCTTTGACCTCACTTCAGCAAAGCACAGAGCTGGTGGAGGACATGGAACTGAAGCCTGTCCTGCTCCATGATGCAGCCACACTGATGCTCTGTGACCTAAGACTTCTGTTTCTCCAGGGTTCATCTCTGCCCTTTTGAGTCCTGTGCTTCCCTGAGTCAGGCAGTCGGGTGGACCTAGGACAGTCTTGGAATATGGGCTCAGGCAGCTCATTCAGAGTAGAAGTGGGACAGTCATTGGTTCTGGTCCCTGAGACCTGTCCCCTTTGAACTAAGCCTCACATCTGTGGTAACAAAGTGAGAGTCCTCCCAGAATGGGGTGTGTGGGAGGGGTGCTGTTTCCTGCCAAGTCTTTTAAAAATTTAATATTTTTAAAATTTTACTTTTTATGTGTACGAGTGTATTGCCTGCATATATGTTAGTGCAGTCAAGTCGTCCAAACGTCGTGGAGGTCCGAAGAGGGTGTTGGATCCCCAAACTGGAGTTATGGACAGTTAACAGTCGTGGGTGCTGGGAATCTAACTCAATTCCCTCTGCAAGAGCAGCCAGTGCTCTTAACTGCTGAGCCATCTCTCCAGCCCCATCCTGCCAAGTCTTTAATAAAAAGGAATGGAGGCCAAAAGAGGGAGCTGGGCATGGTAATGCACACCTTGATCCCAGCACTTGGGAGGCAGAGGCAGGCAGATTTCTTGTAAGACTGAGGTCAGTTTGATCTACATAGCAAGTTCCAGGACAGCTGGGCTACAGAGAGACCCTGTCTCAAAAACCAAAAAGAACAAGGGTAGGTACTGGGGCTGGAGAAGCAGCTCAGCGGTAGAGCCCCTGCTGAGAATCCACTAGTGAGGTACTAGAGATAGGGCTCACATACAGAGCCCCTGATTAGAATCCCCAAAGTGAGGGGCCAGGGGTAGTTCAGGGGTAGAGACCCTGCTCAGAATTCCTAGTAAGGGACTGAGGGTGTGGCTCAGGGGTAGAGCCCCTGCCTGGTGTCAGTAAGGCCCTGGGTTCCATCCCAGTACTAGGGAGAGAGGGCTGGAAAAAGAGTGGTGTAGTTGAACTTCTAAGATGTTTCATTCTTTGTCTACTGAGCCACACCCCCATGCCCAAGCCCAGAGGATGGAGTCCTGCCCTCGTTTTCCAGGTGGAGTCTAAAGCACAGCTCTTGTCCATAAAGCGCCCCCCTCCCTCCAGCTCGCTTCTGTACACCAGAGGCATGGGTGTTCCTGTCTCAACTCTAGCATATTCCAGCCGGCACTGGAGGTTAGACCCTCCTCCCCTTATAGCCTCAATTTCCTCATCTGGAAATGAGGCAGTCTGGGGTCCCTCCATGTTTGAAGGGGCTGAGGAAAGAGCTGATACTATGTCACCTCCATAGGTGAGACCCACAGGCAGGCAGTGGTAGAGTGCTGGCCCAACTTGAGGAAGGCCCTGGATTCCATCTTCAGTGCCACAAAAATACCAAAGCAAAGGTACAGAGGAGGGGCTGCTGATTCCTTCTCCCACTGTAAACGCTTCCATCACCCAGAAGGGCTCCCGGCAGTCTCCCACCCCGTTTCAACAGACCTGAATTCAAGCTACAGCTTTCTCTGTGCAAATGATACCTGTGTGGGCCTCCAGTTCCTCATCCATAAATGCTTAGTACATGCAGACAGGCATTCCCCTCCCATCCCCGACAGACGACCTATTCCTATTCAAGCCCCATCACGTCCCCCAGAAGTTTGTCTTGGTTAGGAAACCCAAAAAATCCGGGTTTGAATCTTAACTCCCTTTTGGGGTCGGAAGTTAGAAACTTCCACATACATGTCTTTCTCTAAAATGTTGGGAACCCCTTCCCATGCTCCACCACAACAAGGGGACACCGCTAAAGCCACGTGTGAGGAAGAGAGAATTTATTGCAGGTTCCAACTTGAAACCTTGCGTCTGCAGTTGGCCAGCAGCTTTTCACGCAGCCACCACCCACGGCACAGCGAGGAGCTCATTCCGCGCAGGCGCAATGCTTCTCTCTTCTCTCCCACCCCTCCCGGAGCTTGCTGGGTAGGAATCGAGGATGCGCATGCGCCCTCCAGCTATCCAGCTGTGCGGGAGGAATCAGAATCCAACACCCTGCCTCCTCTGGCCTCTGCCTTTGGGAGCGAGGAAGGGACAGGGCGCGTGCGCAGTGGCGCGCGGCAACTTGGCTGGTCTCCCGAAATTCGCCGGTCGCGCGTGCGCCGCGCTGGGTCTGGGCCTGGTGCGGCGGGAATAACTAGAACCCCGGCTTCTAGCCGGAGTCCCCGGCCCGCAGCCAGCCGTTGCGCTCTACCTGGGCAGCCGAGGGCCGGGCGGATGGGCTGAACTGTAGCAGCTCGGCGATTAAGGATTTGCAGCGCTCCGACAGCTCAAGGCCGTCGGGGTAGAGCACACCACGCTTCTGGCGCCGGGGAAGGCCGGCAATGTCCGAGTCGTCGAAGGGCATGCACCCGGTGACCATGACGTAGAGCACCACGCCCAGGCTCCAAACGTCGTACTTCTTGGGGTCGTAGGGGATGCCCAAGAGCACCTCGGGTGACGCGTAGGCGGCCGAGCCGCAGTAGGTGGTGCTCAGGTCTGGGAAGCCGTGCGCCTGGCGGCCGAAGCCGAAATCAGTGAGCTTGACACGGCGCTCGTCAGGACTCAGCAGCACGTTTTCGCATTTGAGGTCGCGGTGCACCAGGTGGTGGTAGTGCAGGTAGCTCACGGCACCCGCAATCTGCGAGAAGAGCTCTCGCGCTTGCGATCCCGGGATGCGCCCGTTGCGCTGCACCGCCTGAAGCAAGTCGGTGGCCGCCGCCTCCATCACGATGTACAGCTTCCCGTTGCACACCTCGATGAACTCGAAGACGTGTATGATGTGCGGGTGCCGTATCCCGCGCAGGATGGACAGCTCTCGAGGCAGGAACTTGTTGACGAAGTCTGGAGGCGCTCTCCGACGGTCCACCACCTTGATGGCCACCGTCCCCTTGTACTTTTTGGAGGTGGCCACCTTCACCTTGGAGTAGCTGCCTTCACCAATCGTGCGGCCCAGCTTATAGCCGAGTTCGCTCAGGAGTTTGTCGCCCGACATGGTGGCGCCCGGGGCGCGCGAGGAGCAGGAGGCGGCTGCTGTCGGGGGGCGGCCGGATTCCGATCTCCAGCCTAACCCATGGTGCTTGGCACCTGCACCCCCGTGTCCCCATGTGCCCAGTCCCGAGTCCCTACAGCCGCAATGACTTTTATTGCCCGGGTAACAATTTTTGCCTTGTGAAGTGACCGTGGGCGTCACTCGGTCTTGGGGCGGGGACCTCCCCCACAGACCCCGCTCTCCGCGGGCTTCCTAAACCCCCCTTGGGCTTTGTGACTCAATCGCCCTGAGAGGCCATTGGCGAGCGGACTGACCACCAAGGTGGAGCTGCTCCCAAACTTTGCGTACCCAACCGGAGGCCACGGCCCCTCGAGGTGGAGGGTGGGTACTGGAAACCCTGGAGAACTTTGGGGGTTCTGGTTGCCCTGCCGTCACCTAGAGGGAACTAAGGTAAACGTTAGGGCTTTTAGTGCAAGGCCCAGGGCGCCTCAGAGGGCTCCAGATGCCAACGTCTTGGTCATGCCGAGTCTGGGGCAAGACTAAGATTTCGAGGCCAGAAGGGGACAGGCAGAACGCTTCAGAACAGTCAGAGAAGCAACCGAACGACGGAACTTCCGCCACACTAAAAATGGCGACTACACTTCGCCTCACTTCCGCCAGGGATCGGAAGTGGGAGTCTCGCAAGCATGGCGGCTTCAAAGGTGAAGCAGGACATGCCCCCGCCAGGGGGCTATGGCCCTATAGACTACAAGAGGAACCTGCCGCGCCGTGGACTGTCGGGTCAGTGTCGCCTTGCGCTGTAGTCTCATCCGGGTCTCCTGTGCCTCAGTTTATTCTGTGTGACGGGAGGCAGAACTCGAGCATTCAGTTCTCGTTAGCTGCGGGGTAACTAGCGCTGAGTCTGGGCCTTGCTTCCTTTTCACAACACTCTGGGAGGCCAAAACTTTTTCTCCATTTTCCAGTTGGCTTTCACGGGTTGGGCAACTAACCCCGAGAGAAGTTCAAACCCGGAATCTGGAGGAGTTTGTTTTAGGCGGGATCTCATGTAGCCCAGGTGGATCTCAAACTCACTGAAGATGAGCTTGAACTCCTGATCCTCCTGCCTCCACCTCCTGAGTGGTAACGATTACAGCCCCCAGCCATCATACATAGCCCGTAGGGGATTTATAAAATGTTTTATGTGTAGGGGCTGGAGAGATGGCTCAGCAGTTAAGAGCAATGAGTTAAGAGCACTAGCTGCTAATGCTAATTCAGTTCCCAGCACACACATGGCCCTAACAACCGTCCTAACTCCAGTTCCAGGGGATCCAGATGCCCGCTTCTGACCTCCACCGGCCTTGCACGGCATGGGTTCACTTACATGCAGGCAGTACACTTACACACATGAAATAAAATATAATAAAATATTTTTAAAATGCACTATGTGTAGATTCTAATCTAGCATCTTCCACCAGTACTTAGTATTTTTTCAAAGATAGGTTCTCATGGAGCCCAGGCCAGCCTGGAACTCCTGATCTTCCTGCCTCAGCCTACCTAGTACCAGAGTGACAAATATGTGCCTTCAACACTGGGCTGTGTTTTTAAATTTTTGAAACATTTTAAGTCATTTAAAATTTAGTTATTGACTTCAACACTGAAAAAATATGCAGAACATAAAAGGCCCCACAGTATTCAGAGTTGGAAATACAACATTTTGGGGCTCAGTTGGTAGAGTGCCTGCCTAGCATGTACCAAGCCCTGGATTCCATCCCATCACTGTCTAAACCAGGCATGGTGGTGCACACATATAATTCCAACACTTGAGAGGTAGAGGCATGAAGATCAGGAGCTCCAGGTCAGCCTTGGCTACACAGTGAATTTGAGACCAGCTTGGGCTACATGACATCCTGTTTCCCCAAAAAAAACCCCAAATAAACATAATTTTAGGGTTAGTTTTTTGTTTGGTTGTTTTTTTTGTTTGTTTGTTTGTTTTTTTTAGTCAGCTTGTTCTCAGAATCCCTGCCTCTGTTCCCTGTCCTGGAATTACTGGAAGCCACCATGCCTATCTGGCTTTTATGTGGGTTCTGGGCAACTGAACCCCAGTCTTCATGCTTGTGTGGTAAGCACTTTACCCCCTGAACCAGCTCCCCAGCCTGATTTATTTATTTATTATTTTTATTTTATGTGTATGAGTGTATTGCCTGCATGTATTGAGTGCATCCATGTTGTACAATGCCTCAGAGGTCAGAAGAGGGCTTAGGATTACCCTGGAACTGGAGTTAAGGCCGGTTCGTAGCTGCCATGTGGGTGCTGGGAATTGAACCCAGATCCTCTGCAAGAGCAGTCAGTGCTCTTAACCTCTGAGCCATCACGATTTACTGTAATTATCAAACTTTACATTTAAAATCTTGGCATATTATGCAAATTATGTCTCCATTAAAGAGCCAAACCCCTCAGCTGTGTGTGGTGGCATATGCCTTTAAACCCTGCACTCAGGAGGCAGAGGCAGGTTGATCTGTGTGAGTTCAAGGCCAGCCTGGTCTACATAGTGAGCTCCAAGCCACCCAAGGCTACAGGGAGACCCTGTCTCAAAAAGACAAAGAAAAAAAAAAAGCAAAACCTTCAGGTCTTGGGTAGTGGTTCACACCTATGATCCCAGCACTTGGGAGCAGAGGCAGTTAGATCTTAGAACTGGTCTACATAGGAAGTTTCAGGTCAGCCAGGGCTGTATAGACAGACTCTGACTCAAACAAAACAAAACAAAAAGCTAGTAATAATTTAACCAGTAGAGAACTTGGGGCTGCATGAGACTCAGTGGTAGATTACTTACCCAGTATGCATACAGCCCTGAGTTCACTACCAGCTTTGTAAAATAGTACCAACAAAAAACACTTCGGGCCTTTCCTTGTTGGAGTGTTTCAGCTGCGGGGACCACCAAGTGGAAGAAAGTAAAAGTGTTCTTAGGAAGCTGGAGAGATGGCTCAGTGGTTAAGAGTACTTACTGCTCTCAAAGAAGATCTGGGTTCTGTTCCCAGCACCTACATGGTGGCTAACAACTGTGTAACTCCAGTTCAGGGGATCTAACACCCTCTCTGGCCTTTGCAGGTATTGTACATATGGGTGCACTTACATACATGCAAGCAAAACACTCATACACATAAAAATGAATAAATCAAGAATTTCTTTGTCATTTTGAGACACGGTCTCTCTGTAGCCGCAGCTGGCCTGGAACTCACTATCTAGACCAGATTGGCCTTGAACTCAGAGATCTGCCTGCTTCTGCCTCCCGAGTGCTGGGATTAAAGGTGTGTGCCACTATGCATACTTACATTCTTCTTTATGTGTGTAAATGTGTTCCTGCATATACATCACATGCCTAAGGAGACCAGGAGGCTTTCACCTCCTGAAACTGGAGTTATAGACAGCTCATAGGTGGGTGCTAGAAACCAAACCCAGGTCCTCTGCAAGAGCAATAAGCACTCTTAACTACTGAGCTGTCTCTCCAGCCCCTTTCTCTTTCTTAAGATAGGGTCTCACTCTTGCCCAGATGGGTGTTGAACTGTCTGGCTCTTTCTGCCTCAGTCTCCAGAACATTGTAGTGTTGGAATGACAGGTGTGTGCCATCATACCTGTTCTGTTTTGTTGTGACAGGCTCTCAATGTGTAGTGTCAGGTGGCCTGGAACTTACTATATAGACCAGGCTACTGGGAATTCACAGAAATCCACCTGCCTCTGCTTCCTGAGTGCTAGGTTAAAGGTGTGCACCACCATGCCCTTCCCATGCCTGGTCTTTTTCCCTTTTATTTTTTAAATTTTATTAATTTATTTATTTTTATCTTTTTTTATTTTTTTGTCTTTTTGAGACAGGGTCTCCCTGTAGCCCCAGCTGTCCTGGAACTCACTATGTAAACCAGGCTGGCCTCGAACTCATGGAGATCTGCCTGCCCTGCCTCCCAAGTGCTGGGATTAAAAGCATGCACCACCATGCCCGGCTGTTTATTTTTTATTTTATGTGTAATATGTGTATTACCTGCATGTAGGTAAGTGCACCCTTGTCATGCAATGCATGCAGAGGTCAGAAGAGGCTGTTGGATCCCCTGGGACTGGAGTTACAGCTGTTAGCTGCCATGTGGGTGCTGGGATTCGAACCTGGGTCTTCTGCAAGAACAACCAATGTTCTTAGCCACTGAGCCATCTCTCCAGCCCCATCTCTTTTATTTTTATTATTATTGTGAAGGATGTGTATAGATCCTTCCACCTCCATGTAGATTCCAGGGATGAGACTCAGATCCCCAGGCTTTTGTGGCACGTGTTCACCTCCTGAGCCATCTTGCCAGCCCCTCTTCCTCCTCTTTTCTTGAGATGTAGCACATCTAGGCTGGTGCCCTGCTCAGGCCTGCAGCACATGGTGTTAACCACAAAGAATGTGCCTGTAGGCCTGCACCTAGACCTGGCTGTGGAAAGATCCCAGCTGTGGTGCCTCCTCAGGCCCCCAAGTCACCTTCTTGTGTTTATTTTAATATTTATTTATTTATTTATTTATTTATAGACAATGTCTCATGTAGCCCAGGCCAGCCTTGAGTTCCCTGTACAGCTGATGATGACTTTGAACTTGCAATCCTTTAGCCTCCTTTTTCCGAGTACTAGACATGTACCACCATACCTGGTTTATGTGGTGCTGGGGTGGAACCCAGGGCCTGTGTGTGCCAGGCGAGCCCTTTACCAACTGAGCAACCTGCCTACCCCTTCATTTTTGTGTTTAAGCCACAGTGTCACAATGGGCCTTTTACTTTGTTCTCTTCTAGTGCAGCTGTCCTGACCACCGTGCCAGAGTTAAGACAGTCTTGTTCTGTAGCCCAGGCTGGCCTCAGCTTTCTAAGGGCTGGGATGAAGGCCTGCACTACTACACTGCAGACCCCCTGCCTCTTAACCCCTTTTTTTGAGACAGGGTCTCTCCAGTCCCCCACCCTGACCTCCTTTTTTAAAAAGTGTTGCACTTATGTAGACCTTGCTGATCTGGAATTTGCTGTGTAAACCAGAGCAGCCTCAGCAATCCTTCTCCCTCTGGTTCCTTGATCTTTTCTTTCTCTTTCTTTTTTTTTTTTTTGAGGCAGTGTCTTCCTATAGCCCCAGCTGTCCTGGAACTTACTATGTAGACCAGGCTGGCCTTGAACTCACAGAGATCTGCTTGCCTCTGCCTCCGGAGTGCCGGGATTAAAAGTGTGTGCCACCACACCTGGCAATCTCTTTCTTACTTTAAAAAAAATTTTTTACATTTGTATGTTTGTACCTTTCATATAACAGTTCTTAGTAAAATTTAGACTCCCGCCCCTATCCGTCCTGTCCCCCATGCATGCCACCATACATGTTAAGTCTTATCCAGTCAAGCATTTTTACCCAGATGTCCTTCAGTGCAAGTTCATCCACTGGAGTTTAGTCAGCCTGTCTAGTGGGTGAGGTTTAATATGAGTCCTATCCAGACACACACTCTGCAGTCTCCTAATTCTCTAAAACTTGACCAGTTGTGGGCTTCTGTGTGCATCTCACACTGTTGTATAAGGAAGTTTTGCTGGTGAGAGTTGAGGGATGCACTAGTTTTCTCTGTACCCCCTGTTCTGCTATGTTCCTGTGAGCCTTAGGTATAGAGGTTCCACTGTAGATACATCCCCTAGCACTGGGCATCTCTCAGACATTCTCTGTGTGTGACCAATTGTGGAACTCTGCAGTAACAAAGTTTCTTTGATGAGTGGTGTACAGTATACTTGTCAGGGTCGTAGGAAGGCTGGTCTCTTTCTTATTTTTATTTTATGTGTATGAGTGTTTTTCCCTGCATGTATGTATGCATGCCATGTGTGTGTCTGGTGCCCGAGGAGGCCAGAAGAGGGTATTGCATCCCCTCGATGTGGCATTATAGATGGCTGTGAGTGTTCTTAATACCTGAGTCATCTCTCTAGCCCCTCCTCCCCCTTTTTTTGAGACAGGGTCTCATGGAGCCCATGGTGGACCTAAGCTCCCTGTGTAGTTGAGGCTGGCCCTGAACTCCTGATCCTCCTGCCTTCACTTTCCAAGTGCTAAGAGTGCTGGGTTTATACCGTATGGGAATAGAACCCAGGGCTTTGTACATGCTAGGCAAGGAGTCTGCCAACTGAGGCTAGCCTGAGCATGGTTCCAGCTCTCACCAGCAGGCCTCCAATCCACTGTGAGTTAACTTGGCTCCCCAGATGAGGAAGGGGTGCTGTGCATCTCTTGCATGTGACTGCCTTGTCCTTCCGTGCTGAGAAGACTGTTCTTTCCCCATTGAAAGCGCCTTGGTATCTTTGTCCAAAGCCAGTTGGTCATAAAATGTGAGGGTTTATTTGTGGATCTCAGATACCCAGTTCTGCCTCACTGAAAAACGTGACTGTCCTCATGCCAGTGCCTCCCTGTCCTGCACACACAGCTGCATGATGAGTTTGGAGGCTGCAAAGTGCAAGTCCTGCAATTTGGCTCCTCTCTCTTGAAATAGTTTGGCCATTCTGGTCTTTGCCCTTCCATGTGAATTGTACAACCTGCTGTGGGTTTCTGCAATGGAGCAGAAGTCAGGGTTCTGATGGGGATTGTGTTTGTATCTATATACCATTTGGGGGAGCACTACCACCTGCCCAGTGTTAAGTGTTTCACTCATAAACGTATTGATTCAAAAAAGAATGGCAAGGGATGGCAATGCCTCCAACCCCAGCTATCTGGGAGGCTGAAGTGCAAGATAGGGGTTCTGTACATGCCCCCTGCATGGGCCTCCTCGGATGGTACCTTCTGAGGTGCAGACCCACTCCAGGGTCAGGGGCTTGAGCTTTGCCCCATCCAGCAGGGGCCATGGGGCCTGGGAATAGATAGGTGTGTGGCTCCTGCCTCAGGCCAGGCCCCCTCTCTCTGGAACTTACCTTACATTGCTGTTCTGGGAAATCATGAGGAGCAGCTCAGGCCAACGACTTAGGGTTGTGAGTCGAAGAGGAGCCCTATGGAGTCTTCTGTAACTGTTGAAAAGAAAAAGCAAAAAATAAAGGAGAAAAAAGAGAAAAAGTGCACATTATATATATCTCCCCACCATCTCCAGTGGGGTGCAGGCTGAGTGCCCACCACAGGTGGCTAGCCAGAACTGACCCGGAGCACTCAGGGCTTCTCCAGACAGCTTGCACCCCTGAGCCCAGCCATCTGGGCTGACTTCCATGACTGGAAGGGTCTCACCCTGAGCAGAGTCTTCTAAAACGTTGAACCAGGCAGATGAAAAAGGCTCCTGACCTAGCCAGGGATCCAGGAAATCCTGTGTAGAATCCCCTAAGACCCCCACAGCTCTCCCCCCACACACACACCAGCCCAGCCTCCACCTCTCCATTTGCAGTCATTGGCTGATCCCTGGAGTTTATCCTGCTCACAGCAGCCAGTCAGGATTAGAGCTGCCCCTGCTGGTCTTCAGAAATTATTCATGAGGGCCCCTGCTCCTCCCCTGGGTACTGGAAAGGTAGCAGACCCTGCTGAGCCTGTGGTGGCCACCCTGCCCCTGGAGTGCCCAGGGCACTGCCAGCTTCAGGTGGGTGCTGTCAAAGCAGTCACCCTTTCTAGTAGGGACCAGGCCTTCATCCTTCTAGGCGTTTGGGCTGTCCTGTCCCTGAGGGCAGCATTGTGGCCGCCAGGACTGCCTAGTAGCCCTGGCAGAGCAGGTAAGGAAGAGAGACAGGCCACCTGCTGAGGGGGTGTGCAAGGACAGCTAGCAGATAATCCAGACTTGAATCTGGAGGGACCCCCAATTGCTGAGTTGGGCCCTGGAGGGCACCATGGTGAGAGGGAACCTTCAACCTCTCTTGCAGGCTACAGCATGTTTGCAGTGGGCATCGGGACCTTGCTGTTTGGATACTGGCGCGTGATGAAATGGAATCAAGAGCGCAGGTAAGGCCCCAAGTGCATGTGGGCTGTGGGGTTCTGTGAGAGTGATAGTGGCCTAGGCCAAGCTGTCTGTACAGGGCCAGGAAATGCAGACCTCACCCTTACTTCTTGTCCTGAAGCAAGGAGCTGGTGACCACACCTTCAACTTCCAAGGTTGGGGACCTGGGTCCCAGTTAGTGCAGGGAATTTAGTGTAGGGCAGCTGGGATACATGACCTTTTAGCTGGTTCTATGAGCAGTGCTCAGGCCAGGATATGATTGGGGCTTAGAAACCAGATCATGGGAGGCAGCATCTCCTGAGAGCCAGAAAGACTAAGAGCATGAGTGTCACAGGTGAAGGGACCCTGCTGGAAGTCTGTCCCTGGGCTCCATCACTGGGCATTGTGCCCCCAGTGCCTGGAGCTGAGGTGATCCTAGCTCCCTGTGGGGATCTTGGGAGGAGACCTGCAGGCCTAGCTTCTGCTGTTATTCTGAGACAAAAGGGATTGGTTTGTTAAGGCCCAGAGTCCTGATGAGTAACCCCCTCTCCACCCAGATCATCAGTAGGGTTAGCCTATTGTCCTAGTTTGTTTCTTCATTGCTGTGACAAAACACTCTGACAACTTCCAACTTGTGGAGGAAAGGGTTTATTGACTTTACATCTTCCAGGTCACAGTTCATCAGGGAGTCCAAGGTAGGAATTCAGGGCAGGAACCTGATGGCAGGAGCTGGAGCACAGGCCATGGAAGTTCACTGCTTACTGGTTTGCTCCCCCAGCCCCTGCTCAGTCCGCTTTCTTATCCAACACAGGCCCATCTGCCCAGGGGTGGTACCACCCACAGTGGGCTGGGCCCTCCCACATCACACAACAATCAAGAAGGTGCCCCATGGACATGGCCACAGGCCAGTCCAATGAAGGCAATTCCCCAATTGAGGCTCTCTCAACCCAGGTGTGTCAAGTTGACACTAAAGCTATCCAGCACACCTATTTTTAGGATTTTTAAAAAAATAGTTTAATTGGGGGAGGGGCTGGAGAGACGACTCAGTGGTTAAGAACACTGGTTGTTCTTACAGAAGACCTGAGTTTGAATCCCAGCACCCACATGGCAGCTAACAACTGTCTATAACTCCAGTTCCAGAGGATCTGACAGCCTCTTCTGACCTCCGTGGGCATTGCACAAGAGGAGTGCACTTACTTACATGCAGGCAGTACACAAATACACATAAAAAAAAATAATACAAAATATTTTTTAAAAAAGTTTAACGGAAAGTGTGCAGCCAACAGTTTTGTGTCAGCGTGGCCTGTGCCAGCGGTGCCCCCGGCTGCCCTTCTGTCCAGCTCCTGTGGCCAGCCTTAGCCTCACCCTCCCTCTCCCAACCACTACCCCGTGACCCCTGGCCCTGTTGTGTTCATGTCCCACACTCCCCCACTGGCGACATTTGACCCCGTGTGGGTGTCGTGATTTCACAGGCGCCTGCAGATCGAGGACATGGAGGCGCGCATCGCCCTCATGCCACTCTTCCAGGCGGAGAAGGACCGCAGGTAGGAGGTCAGCAGAGGTGGGGGATGGGTAGGCAGGAGGCCGTGGGAACCTGCTGGGCCCGATAGAATGGGGCGATGGGACGTGCGGGGAGGAGGCCGGGAGTGGGGAGGCGGGTTAGGAGCAGGGGGAGGGGAGGAGAGGAGCGATGGGGAGGAGCTCAGCCCTGCCCTGTGGACGCAGGATCCTGCAAATTCTTCGGGAGAATTTGGAGGAGGAGGCCATTATCATGAAGGACGTGCCGGACTGGAAGGTGGGTCCCAACATCCCTAGTGGGTGGGGCAGAACCACTGGCTGAGGACTAATTGGGACTGACCGCCACCCCTGCTTGTAGGTGGGAGAGTCTGTGTTCCACACGACACGCTGGGTGCCACCGCTGCTCGGTGAGCTGTATGGGGTGCGCACCAAGGAAGAGATGCACAACGCCAACTTCGGCTTCATTTGGTACACATAGGGCCAGAGGCGTTCAATAAATAATGGTAAAATTAACTCCTTTGTGTGACTCCCGCGTCGTTGCCACCTGGGGCTCCTGTCCCATGCTCCTGATGGCGCCTCTGGTCACCACCTGCTGGCTCTCCCTAGCACAAACAGGGTTAAATCCACTCACGCACAGTGACCAATGGGTGCGCAGAGCGCCTCTTCGGCGGCCCCTGATTGGTGGATACACTGGTCGCTTGGCTCTGCCCCCAGGGAGGGCTTTAAAGGCTGCGGGGCGGGGGGGCGCTCACACAGGCTCTCCTCCTAACAAGAGCTACAAGCAACACGCCACACCAACATGAGCAGCAAGGTCCCGGAGGAGCGCCGCTTCCTCAGGTCAGCCTGAGGGTGGACGGGCTGGAGGCTAGGGCATGACTGGGATGGGTCCGAGAGTCCAGCTGTAGCGCATGCAGGCGTATTGGAAGCTGAGTTGCCCAGGAAACCTCATCTCAGGGAGATTCTAAGCTCTCTGTCTTTAAGGCCTTATCTCACCCCCAGACCCTGGGTCTCCAGCACCAGATTGCCATCTGCAGCCAGCTGAGCTGCTCCTCAGACTAGCGTTGCTATCCTGGTCCAGGGGAGGAAGCTCAGGCCTGGTGTGTGTATAAGGGGGGAGGGGGTTTGGGGACAGAGTTTGCAGTCAGTGTCTGGAGTTAGCATCCATGGCTGTGTTCGACACCTCTTGTTCTTCTGTGCCCTCTGCCTAATGAGGGACCACAGATAGGCTGTAGACCTCAGTGTAAACCACGTTTACCCAGCAGCCCCTGCCACTGTAGTTCAGCCCCTTGCAAAGGCAGATGGTATACAGGGGAGGTAAGTGTTCTGAAGCAGCTGTAACTTCACTGGCCAAGGGGCCTCAGACACCTGCTGAGGAGAAACGGGGCTCCATGAGGCAAGTAGGAAGGGAGCTGGGGGAAGAGAGGGATATGGTTGGGGGTATCATGAGGGGCTTGGAGTTATGCTAAGGCTCTTAGTATCCTTTGAGCACTGGAAGTCATAGAAGGGTCAGGGTGTAGGGTTGTGACCCTGGTTCATTTGGGGGCACAGAGGTTATGTATGCAGATAACCAGATGGGCAATGATGGTGGAGGTGTTAGGAAAGTGCAGCAGAGGGAGCTGGGATACCTTGGCCTGAAGGTTCATTGCCCTTCTAGAAGCAATTTGGAATTGTCAGGCCCAGTTCCTTTTTGACCTAGGCAGTTTCAGTACTGGATCTGGAAAGGAAATATGAGTCTTCCAGCCTCTCTCCCAGGAGCTGAAGTTGGACAAGAAAGATACCCCCTTCCCCAATAATGGAGCCTCCCAACAGTAGATGGGCTGCCCTACCTCCCCACTGGTTCTCATCTTCACTCTACCCACCAAGACCAATGCTGTCCCCTGATCAGGCTGCTCCCCAGAATTCCTCTCTGTCCCCACTGTCACTCTAGACACCAGTAAGGAAGTTCCAGGTGAAGAAAAGGGAATAGGTGGTCCCCCTATCACTACCCCTCCCCTGCAGAGGTAGCAGCCAGGACTCCCAGACAAGAGTGAGGGGTTAAGCCATGCTGCAGCTTTCCCACTGCCTCTCCACAGACCCGTGTACATGTGTGTGCATGCATGTATAGGACAGAGGTTTCACCATATTTTTTTAAACTGTCTCTCACTGAACCTGGAGCTCACTGATTGGCTAGACTGACTAACCAGTGAGTTCTTAACTTCCTGTCTCCACCTCCCCAGCACTTAGATTATAGTCATACCTGTCCAGGCTTTTGCTTTTTAAATAGGGTTCTGGGATTAAACTCAGGCCCTCATGCTTGCATGCAAGCACTTTACCAACTAAACCATCTTCCAGCCCTCGACTGACTTGTTTTTTTGTTTTTAAAAATATTTTTATTTTAGCTGGGCGTGGTGGTGCACACCTTTAATCCCAGCACTCAGGAGACAGAGGCAGGCAGATTTTTGTGAGTTCAAGGCCAGCATGGTCAGTTGGAGCTACAGGGAGACCCTGTCTCAAAAAGACAAAAAAAAATTTATGTGTGTGAGTGAGTATATTGCCTGCATGTATGTAAGTGTACCTGTGTCATGCAATGCCCACAGAGGCCAGAAGAGGGCGTTGGATCCCCTGGAACTGGAATTAAGCATGGTTGTTAGCCTCCATGTCAGTGCTGGGAACTGAAGAACTGAATCCGGGTCCTCTGTAAGCAGCCAGTGCTCTTAACTGCTAAGCCATCTCTCCAGCCCCCTGACTTGTTTTTGAGACAATCTTGCCTTGTGGGCAAGCTAGCCTGAAATTTTTGAGAGTCCTGCTTCAGCCTCCCAGATGCTGGGGTTCAGGTGTGTACTGCTGTGCCCAGGCCTCACCTCACAATGGAATGCACCATACTGTATGTGCTGGGCATGCAGCCAGCACATTCTTCATCCAGCTCTACCACCACAAGCTCTGTTTTCCATTCCCTGTCCTTGTCCTTCGAATGGGATTCCTCCTGCCCTGTACCTGGGCTCCACTATCTTCCTGACCCAGAGGGTCTTCCTGATAGTGTTTCTCAGTGTGACACTGAACCCCTGCTTCATCACCACACTCCTTATTTCTGTCCCCAGCTGTTTCTGCCCAGACTTATTCTAGGTGTCTTGCTGTGTTACCTCTGTCAGTGTTCCTGGCTTCCTTCCAGGATGCCCTGCCTGACATCTGTCTCACAGCAGGTGTAGTCTTTGACCCTCCAGTCCCCAGTAGGAAGGGAAAGGACCCTGGGAAGGGAAGAGGGCTGCTGGCACCAAGTCTAGACCCTGTCCTTTTGCCCCAACCCCTGATCCTGAAATGAGATTACACACACTGTACCCTGTCACCAAATGTAAGCTCCTTGGAAGTACCTGGTGAGGGCTGGCTTGGTTCTTGCACGTAGAAGTGCCCAGCACTTGCTCTATTGCAATGCCATTACTATCTTAAAATTCATTTTGTTTTGTTTTGTTTTTTTGCGACAGGGTCTCACTGTACCTAGTTGACCTGGAGCTCACTATGTAAACCAGGCTGGCCTTGAACTCACAGATCTGCCTGCCTCTGCCTCTTGAGTGCTGGGATTAAAGGCTGTGCCAAGAGGCCCAGCCTTTTATTTCAATGCTGGGTCATGGAACCCAGGGCCTCCTGCTTACCAGGTGCTCCACTCAACTACACTCCTAGCCCTAAATTCCTAATGATTTTTAGACAGGTGCCCATAAATTATTTAAGCTGCTCTTGCCTTCAGTTTTTCTAGAGGTGTGGTGGAGAGAAACTCCAGCAGTGACTCAGTCAAGTGGTAGAGCCTTGACAGCCCAGCAGCCCCATCTCTCCGGCCACAGATATCTTAATTTCATTGCCCTTGGAGAACGGCCACCAAAAGGCCTCAGATGAAGGTTTCTAGTCTATTTCCCTTAGCTACCAAACTCCTGCAGCCTTCCAGAAAGCCCACTTTCACAGCCCAATTCTTATCTGTCCCCTGCAGAGTCCTGGAGTTTCCTCCATTATTTTCTGTGTAATCTCCCCATCAAAGTCCTTTAAGGCTGGGTGCCATGGGTACACCTGGAACCCCATCATTCAGAAATCTGAGGCAAGAAGATCAGGAGTCAGGAGTTCAAGGACAGCATGGGCTGTGTAATGAGACTATCTCAAACAAAAAAGTCTTTCACTCTTCATTGCCCTTCCTGGGCTCCTGCCTTGCTGTCTGAATTAGGTTCAGCCGCTCAGCTTTGGGGCAGTAATAAAACCACTCTGAGCATCTGCACTCACCTTCTACCACCACAGGATGCATTTGCCTCAGGCTTCTGCCACCGTGCAACCCCTTTCTTGTGAAATGGAGACAATGAGCCAGAGATGATGGACCCCAGCTCTGGGCTGGAGAAATGCTGGGGGCTTTGGGGTAGGGACTAGAAGATGGCTTCAGATCCTGATGCATCTGAGCTGCCCTCTCCAGGTCTCATCTCCTGCCTGCGTCTCTGAGTGTGTCTCCCCTCCATTCTCCCTCAGCTTGGCAGAGGCGGCTGCCCTGGAGCGGGAGCTGCTGGAAGAGTACTGCTTTGGGCGCCAGCAGCTGGTGGAACTGTGCGGGTATGCCAGTGCAGTGGCGGTGACCAAGGTACCTGACAGCAACAGCCAAGCTGGGACTCTTGAATTCCTGGTGGCCAGGAGCTTCCACCTTCCACAAGCTCCCCTTGCTCAGGGCTACCTCAATCCTGCTCTCAGGTGGGGAAACTGAGGCACAGAGAGCTCACTGTTGGAACAGGCCAGAGACCCCAGGCCTAGACTATCAGAGAAGGCAGACCAGGGTCCCAGGGTGGGACTGAGCCCTAGAAATTCAGACTTGGAGTCCTTCTGTGTTATCGCTTGCCTCCTTTTGCCCCTTGAGCACCCCAAACTCTCCCTAGGGGAAACAGGTCCAGAGGCAGGGCAAGGGCACCCTCATAGGGTACAAAGCAGAGCTGAATCCAGGTGTATACAGTTCTGCTAACCCCTCCCCACCCCCAGAGGATAGGGATCAATGACACAAGAGGTGCTTGCAGTGAGGCCCACCAAGCTGGGCCTCAGGGTCCTCCACAAACAGGACAATTTGGTCATAAACACAGAAGCCCCAAGGGAAGATTCTGAGTAGAGCCTAGCTCATGTGTCTCACCTCGCCCTTTTTAAAATCTTTCATTTATTTGTGTGTATGTTGGCCTCCGAGTATGCCATGGTACGCGTGTGGGGGTCAGTCCTCCACCTTGGGGGACTCAGTTCTTCCAACATGGATATTGGAGATCGAAGTCAGACTTGGCGGCAAGCGCCTTTACTCGCTGAGCCATCTTGCCAGCTCCCCACGCACCTGTTTTGAGTCCTCAGCTTAGGCCGAATGCGTGGCGGCTCAGTTTGTCATGCCACCCAGCACTTGGGAGGCTGAGGCAGAACTGCTGCAAGTTCAGGGCCAGCCTGTACTACAGGAGACCCTGCCAGTCTCCGACAGAAACAAGACAGATAGGAAAGAGGAAAATGTGAAGTCAGGAGAGGGGCGGAGACGAACCCACGGAGGCGCTGCGCTTGGCGGTTAGCGAAGCCCCCTTTCAGGCTCGCCCCACTTTGCACTGGAAACTTGGGGGACTCTCCGCGGGGAAAGTGGAAAAAATACCTGCAGAGCGCTCGGTGTAAACAAACCTGAGTCGCGCTGGGTAGAGCCCATCTGTGTCCTGGCCCCGCCCCCTCGGCCTCAGTTTCCCCAGAGATAGCGGCCCGCTGTGCTTTGTCGCAGGCGTTCCCTTTGCCATCGCTGTCGCGCAAGCAGAGGACCGTGCTGGTTGTATGTGGCCCGGAGCAGAACGGCGCGGTGGGGCTGGCGTGTGCCCGACACCTACGTGTGTTTGTGAGTAGATGGGCCCGGTGCGGGGACGAAACGGCGAAGTCCCGCCGCACGCCGTCACCGGGCCCCGATTCCCCCAGGAGTACCAGCCCAGCGTCTTCTCCCCCGCGCGCCCGGCGGACCCTCTGCACCGCGACCTGACCACGCAGTGCGAGAAAATGGACATCCCCTTCCTGTCCTTCCTGCCCGCGGAGGTCAGCCGCGCCCACCCTGCCCCCGCCCCATCCGGCCCCGCGGGTGACCCCGAACCCTAGAGAGACCTCGCCCCGTCCCGCAGGTGCGACTTATCGACGACGCCTACGGGCTGGTGGTGGACGCAGTGCTGGGCCCCGGAGTGCGGCCGGCGGAGGCGGGCGGCCCCTGCGCACGTGCGCTGACCACGATGAAGCGCCTCTCCATCCCGCTCGTGAGCCTGGACGTCCCCTCAGGCACGGGGCCCGGCGTTTCATACCAGCCTGTTTCCCCGTCTTCCCCCTCCAGTGTCAGTTTCCTTTTCTACTCCAGTCTCAGTCGTCTCCTCCTGTTTTGCCCCCGGCCTCAGTTTCCCCCATTTGCTTCCTCCAGCCTCAGTTTCCACCGTATGGACGGAGTACCCTCCCTGACCGAGGGTCACACCCATCCCAAGGATGGGAAAGACACAGGAGGCCACCCAGGTGACCCCGAATCCCCTCTTGCCCTGTCCAGCCCAGCGGCCCTGCTGGCCCGCCATTGGCCCTGCTGACGGGGCAGCCGTGAACTCACTAGGCAGAGGCCACATCCGGTGGGCCCAGCGGGTGTCCCCAGCTTGAGGATTCCCAGTACAGGAATGTCTAGTCCGAGGGGGAAGGCAGCAGGTGGTCAGGGCAGAGACCCCGTCAGGTTAGAGGCTCAAGGACCTCTAATGGGGATGTGGGGGGCTGAGAACCAAGGAGCCCTAAGTCTGAGGGAGTTGCTGGCGATTTCCGGTTAGTGCCAGAGGCAGAAGAGAAGGCCTAGTCCGCAAGTGAAGACTCCTGGATGGTTCGGGTGGGCGTGGCGTCCTGCCAAGTCTAAGGCTGGGTCCTCCTGAGAACCGACACCCCAATCAGAGGGAAAAACCCAGTCAGAGGGGGGAGGTCGCGGGTTTGAGTAGGGGTGGGGACCTGACGAGGTGGGAGGCTGGGGTCCGGCCAGGGTCTGGGGGTGGGGAAGGAGTCAGCCATCAGAGGGCCGCGACTGAGTCTGCGGGCCAGGAGGAGGTGGAAACGGGGAGGTCGGAGGGCGGAGGATTGGTTCTACGGTCAGCAGGTCTAACCGCGACCCACGTGTCGGCGCGCAGAGGAACAGGAAGGGAAGGCAGGGCAGACCCCAGTGCGGGGGCGGCGGTCCCAGCTCTCCTCCTCCCGCCCAGGCTGGGACGCCCAGGCTGGCGGCGATGTGGAGGACGCGCTGCAGCCCGACGTGCTGGTGTCGCTCGCAGCGCCCAAGAGCTGCGCTCGCCGCTTCTCCGGGCGCCACCACTTCGTGGCCGGCAGGTTCGTCCCAGACGAGGTGCGCCGCAAGTTTGCCCTGCGTCTGCCGGAATACTCGGGCACCGACTGCGTGGCCGCGCTGTGACCGTGGCGTGCTCTGAGACCTGCACCAATAAACGTCTCCACCTCTGCCTCCGCCTCTTGTGCGCCCGGCCGCCGCGGGGTGGGCGGACGGAGGGGGAACCCTCGGGTCCTGGGGAGGGGAGTTGAGTGGTCGAGCTTCCTAGAAAGGAGGGTAGACTCAGGTGAGACTTCCAGACTGCGGGGAGGTGGCCCAGAGTCGATAGGAAGGAAGTTAGATATGAGCTAGAACTTCCAGCCGCCTAAAGCACCAAGCAGTCAAGCTTCAGGTTCAAGTCCAAGGGGGCCTGAGATCCAGTTGTCAAGGAGGAGGGGGAACTCGGGACACCGGCCAGCCCGAGAGCCGAGGCACAACAAGACGCGCCTGGGGAGAAGGAAGGGGGCGGCGACCCCGTGTGGTTGCATAGGGGCGTGGCTTGGTAGAGGAGGGCTTGTGGTCACGTCCCGCCCCCATCAGTCCCTCACATCCTCCAGATCTGCTCGGTCGGACCCTAGCTAACTGCAGAGCCGGGCCGCTATCCCCGACGTTCCGACCTGGCGATGGCGTCCCCGCTGCCCCTGCTCTGTCTCTGCGTAGTCGGAGGGTACCTGGCGGGAGCGCGAGGTGAGGCACCGGAAGCGCAGGCGCACGAGGAGGGGGTAACAAGGGACCGCAAGCGCTGCCTGGGGTGCGGGCGACCGAGCCCCTTCCATCCTCCACGAAGTGGCGCCAGGAAGGTGACATGCACCTTCCTCAGTCAGGCCCAGCCTTTGAACCCTAAATCGCCAGGTCTCCCAACCTGAGCCAAGAGGTCACAGCTGTCCCCACAGCACGGCCACGCAGTCGGTGCCCGAGTGTTCCGGCAGGCGCGGGACTGGTGACTGACCTATTTATCAAGAGACTGAGTGAGGCTCCAGGAGGAAGGAATTCGTCTGAAGTCACCCCCTCTCATGTCATCTTGGACGGCTGAAGGCCAGAGGAGCCAGCTATACCAAGGACTTTTCTGCTGGCACCTTGTACCCCACATAAAAGGACGGAAGGGACTTCCAGGCAGAGAATGCAGCCGTCCGCGGGTGGACGCGACTAAACTTGTGTTTTATGAACTAGGCTGGGAGGGGTAGAGAGCGAGACACAGTCCCCAAGGCCAAGGAGTTGGGGTTGAAGAGGTTCAGGGTTACTCATGGGAAGGCTTCCTGGAGGGGGTGGCGCTGCAGTGCTCAGGGCTAGAGCTGGGGCCTCTCAGACCTCAGTTTTCTCCCCTGTGAGACCGGGTGGTTTCCAGAGGACTACAGCCTTCTCACTCCTCGCCCCCACACAGACGCCACCCTGGCCAAGGAGCCCAGCGCGGCAGCCTGGAGTCTGCAAGGACCGGCACCAAACCCCGCCCAGCCCTCGTCAGCCCTGGAGGACTGGGACGGTGAGTCTTCTGTGCTGTGGGCCCGTGTAACCTGAGCCCGGGTGGGGGGAGAGACCGGTGGGAGGCAGGGACTGGGGCTCAGCACGCGGTTCCCACAGAGGCCAGCGAGTGGACGTCCTGGTTCAACGTGGACCACCCGGGAGGAGACGGCGACTTCGAGAGCCTAGCCGCCGTCCGCTTCTACTACGGGCCGGCGCGCGTATGTCCGCGGCCACTGGCGCTGGAGGCGCGCACCACCGACTGGGCGCTGCCGGCCGCCGTGGGCGAGCGCATACACTCCGACCCCACGCGCGGTTTCTGGTGCCTCAACCGCGAGCAGCCGCGCGGCCGCCGCTGCTCCAACTACCACGTGCGCTTCCGCTGCCCTCTGGGTGAGGTCCGGGCGCGTGGTGGGTGTATCCTGAGCGGGCGAGGAGAGGAGCTTGTGAGCATGGGCAGGGCAGGGCAGGGGAAGGGCTACCCTGAGGAACAATGCCAGGTGAAGAGCAGCCCTTGTGATGGGCGGGGCCTGAGTGTGCACTGAGGCAGGATTGTGTAGCGGTGGCTTGGGAGGCACGTGCACAAGCGGTAAGGGGTGGAGTGGTTTTGCTGGCAGGAGCTGGGCCCAAGTAAAAGGTAGAATTGTAGCAGATCAGTATCCCCTTTGGTCATCGGGAACAGCTCCGTGCTAGTGGACGTCTTGTGCCCCATTGTATTTAGGACAGAGCGGGGACGGCAGGGCTAACCTGGAGCGCACCTGGCAGGGAGACCGGGCGCTACCTGTGCATCCTGGGGAGCCAGAATGGGCTCTGTGCAAGACCACTGTCTGCTTGTGCGCCTGGCTTGCGTGGAGTATATGTGGGGGGAGGAGACTTGCATAGTCCAGGAAGCCCGGTGCCCTGGGATTGCAGCCCCACCTCATCTCTTTCTTTGCTCCGCAGAGGCCTCGTGGGGAGCGTGGGGCCCGTGGAGTCTCTGCTCCAAGAGCTGCGGGCCAGGCCGTCGCTTGCGGCGCCGTAGCTGTCAAGGCTCGTCTGGGGATGCCTGTTTAGGGAGCCCCCAGGAAGCTCAGAAGTGTGTGCGGCCTCGATGCCCAGGTAGGGGGCGGGGACTACATAAAGAATAGCCTAGAAGGGGTGGGGGGTAAAAGGGACTCTGAAAGGCAGGGCCTGGAGAGAAGCCAGGCTTGTAAAGGGTGGAGCCTGGGCTCAGGGCTCTAACTTTGGCGTCCCTTTCCTCCTGTGCCAATTGGACCATACCTGTACACATCTGTACACTTTCTGGGGTGGGGGTGGTAATGAGGATGTAACCCCAGGTCCTGCACACGTTAGGCAAGACTGCACATATGGACGGTGGATGCTGAGAGGGTTGCACGAAGGCAGGCATGGACAAATCTGAGCGGACTCGTCCCTGGAATACACAGCCATTCCCGTGTGCAGACAAGCTAATTCTATACTTGAGATACATGAGTGCACCATTCACAGCCCTCCTTCCCCCTCGTCCTGTTCGACCATGCAGACACACACTCACACCCTAGCAGACACGATGTCCAGGCCCTCCCAAGGCCAGACACCAGGCCAGCCAGGAGGCTACTGGAAATTCCACTTGGGCCTGGGCGCCACAAACAAGGTCTGCAGACATGGGGGGGGGGCTGCACAGGGTGGGGGCATGAAATGGCCAATGAGGGGGTCCCCACCCCACTCTGCCTGGCTCTGCCTTGCCAGTGCCTCTGCCCTCAAGTTTCCACTGGAATTTTCCATTTTGTAGAAAGGCAGCAGGATTGGAAGGGAGGCTGATGTTGTTCACCCAAGACAGCCCCTGCCTAGGCTTTTCTTCAGGAAGAGGCCTCTAATCTTTTGAGAATCAGCTTCTCTGGTCCCCTCCTGGTTCAGACCTGCTCCAGCTCTGTCTTCCAGCTCTCTCAAGCCCAGCCACACTGCAGCTCCAGCAGAGTGATATGGGAGGGTTTATGTTTGTTGAATAACTGAATGCAAAGCTCTCCCTAAGAAGGCCTCTGATCCTGTCACCTCTGTGTTTCCCTAGGGTGTAGCTCTGACACCTGTGGGTGTCCTGATGACATCCTCTTGGGCTCAGTGGTCACCCCATCTGGGCGACCGCTACCAGGAGCCAGGGTCTCCTTACGAACCCGACCTGGCACCATAGCTACCAGTGATGCCCATGGAAATTTCCGGGTGTCTGGAGTCTGCGCTGGCAGCCAGGCCAATGTCAGCGCCCAGATGGATGGGTTCTCTGCAGGCATGGCCCGGGCCCATGCCAATGGCTCCAATTCTGCTGTGGTCACCATTGTCCTTGAAAAGTTAGGTGAGTGTCCTTGAAGCCAAGAACATGGGGGTGTGGCAGGGAGGGGGAAACAAGATATGATTCAGTTTTGCTAGTATAAGATGAGGCAGGTCATTCCTGAAAGGAGTAAAGGAAAGGTCCCCCAAGGAAACTGGGGTGTAGCAGGGTCATGAGCTTGGACAATTTTGATCCCTCCTCAGGGAAGCCATACCTGGTAAAGCACCCTGAGTCCCAGGTTCAAGAGACTGGTCAGAATGTGACTTTTTGCTGCAAGGCCTCGGGAACTCCCATGCCCAAGAAGTATTCCTGGTGAGTGAATGTCCCAACTAAGGGACCTCATGCAGCTCTGGGTTACATATGTGCCTATTGGTTCAAAGGCCTTTGAGAATCCTGGGTGTGGTGACACATGCCTGTGATTCCAGGATTCAGGAGGCTGAGGCAGGAGGATTGCTAGTAAATTTGAGGCCAGTGGGATACACAGGGAGGCTCTTTTCCAAAAGAAGAAAAACAAAGGACTGATGGGGCGTATTTGTCTCAAAATAAAAATAAACACACACACACACACACACACACAGAGACACACACACACACAGTAGGAGTGGATAGAGAACACCGGGCGAGTACAACGAGGACACACTAAAACACCGCCGCCAGCCCGTGCCTATTGGTTCAAAGGCCTTTGAGAATCCTGGGTGTGGTGACACATGCCTGTGATTCCAGGATTCAGGAGGCTGAGGCAGGAGGATTGCTAGTAAATTTGAGGCCAGTGGGATACACAGGGAGGCTCTTTTCCAAAAGAAGAAAAACAAAGGACTGATGGGGCGTATTTGTCTCAAAATAAAAATAAACACACACACACACACACACACTAGGAGTGGATGCCAAACTGAGGGCAGGTACAAAGAGGCCACACTAGAACACCGCAGCCAGCTCCCTAGCAAGGGAAGGGGGCTGAACCCAGGACAGTCACTCTCTGCCACTGTCCCCTGGAGACAGATGCAGTCTGACACCCCCCACACACACACATTCCAAGTATCTCTGCATTGTTGACCACCTACTACCCTCTCCAGGTTTCACAATGGAACCCTGTTGGACAGACGCAAATATGGGTCTGGGCCGTACCTGGAGCTCTCAGGGCTTCGTGAGGACCAGGCTGGAGAGTACCACTGCAAAGCGTGGAACGAGGCAGGTGCTGTGCGCTCCCGCACTGCCCTGCTCACGGTGCTTGGTGAGCCACCCCCTGGCCTGACCCTAACCCTGACCCCGACCCCAGTGCCCAACCTCAGACTCCCTGCCTTGACTGGGATGTGTCCCTGCTCCCCAGCACCCGGTTGGCCGGCCTGCGACCCCCGACCTCTGGTACACTTGATCAAGCTTCCAGATGACTGCAGCCAGCCCGGCGGTGGCCCTGAGTATCTGGACGTGGGCCTGTGTGCAGACACACGCTGCCCCGGCCCTGAGGGCTCCGGTCCTCGATGTGGGGACGCGGGCTCACGCTGCTGCTCCGTGCTGCGCCTGGAAAATATGGACATCAGCTGCTCAGGCTACGTGCTCCCAGTGAAGGTGGTGGCCGAGTGTGGTTGTCGCAAGTGCCTGCCCCGTCGGGGGCTGGTGCGGGGGCACTTGGTGGCTGCAGACTCCGGGGAGCCCCTGCGCTTCGCCAGCATCCTTCTAGGCCGTGCGCCCATCGGCTTCACCTCCTACCAAGGCGACTTCACCATCGAGGTACCGCCGGCCACCGAACGCCTGGTGGTGACCTTCGTGGACCCGCGTGGCGATTTCGTGGACAGTGTCCGCGTGCTGCCCTTTGACCCTCGCGGCGCCGGCGTGTACCACGAGGTCCGCGCACTGCGCAAGGCAGCCACGGTGCTGCTGGACGCGGAACTTGGCGGTGCAATCCCGCTAGGCGGCGGGGAGAAGGCTGGGGCGCCCGCGATGGGCGAGCTGGTTTTGCCGCCCCGGGCCTTCCGCCACCCCGACGGCCGTCCGTACGCGGGTCCCGTGGAGGCGCGTATTACCTTTGTGGACCCCCGAGACCTGGCATCCGCAACCGCGGCGCCTAGCGACCTGCGCTTCGTGGACGGCTCGGGCGAGTTGGCACCGCTGCGCACCTACGGCATGTTCTCCGTGGACCTGCGCGCGCCCGGCTACGCCGAGCAGCTGCACGCGGCGCATGCGGCCGTCCGCGTGGCCGCCGAGCATGTGCGCATGCCGGGCCATGCCGAGGCGCTAGCGCTGTGGTCCCTGGACCCCGAGACAGGCCTGTGGGAAGAAGAAGGGGAGCGGGAGGAGCGGGGAAGACGCTTCCGTCGCGAGCAGGTTGCGGCCGCGCGCGTGCGTAGGGAGGAGCGCGCATTCCTTGTGGGCGCGCTCACCGTGCGCGAGCGCCGCCTGTTCAACCTGGACGTGCCGGAGCGGCGCCGCTGCTTCGTGAAGGTTCGCGCCTATGGCACCGACCGCTTCGCGCCCGCCGAGCAGGTGCAGGGCGTGGTAGTGACGCTGCTCAACCTGGAGCCCGCGCCCGGCTTCGAAGCCAACCCACGTGCGTGGGGCCGCTTCGACAGTGCGGTCACGGGGCCCAACGGCGCGTGCGTGCCTGCCTTCTGCGACGCGGAGCGACCCGACGCCTACACGGCGCTGGTGACAGCGGTGCTGGGCGGTGAAGAGCTGGAGGCTGCGCCGTCGCGGCCACGAGCGATCGCGGCCACCGTGGGCGTGACGCAGCCCTACCTGGATCGCCTTGGCTACCGGCGCACTGATCACGACGACCCCGCGTTCAAGCGCACTGGCTTCCGTGTGAATCTGGCGCGGCCGCGCGTGGGCCGCGAGTCGGAGACGCGCGGGCCCGTGTACCCGTGGCGCCGCCTGCGCGACTGCGAGGACGCGCCGGTCACCGACAATCACTTCCGCTTCTCGCGCGTGGAAGCCGACAAGTATGAGTACGACGTGGTACCGTTCCGCGAGGGCGCGCCCGCCTCGTGGACCGGCGACCTGCTGGCCTGGTGGCCCAATCCGCAGGAGTTCCGGGCGTGCTTCCTGAAGGTGCGACTGCAGGGCCCGCAGGAGTACGTGGTGCGCTCGCACAACGCGGGTGGCACCCACGCGGACACGCGCGGTCGCCTCTACGGGCTGCGCGACACCCGCAGCGTGCGCGACCCGGAGCACCCCGGAGCCTCCGCCGCTTGCGTGGAGTTCAAGTGCGGCGGCATGCTGTTCGACCAGCGCCAGGTGGACAGGACGCTGGTGACCGTGACCCCACAGGGCAGCTGTCGCCGCGTGGCCGTCAACACGCTCCTGCAGGACTACTTGGCCCGGCACCCGCCCCCCGCGCCCGAGGATGACTCTGCCGCCTTCACCATGCTCGCCCCTCTGGACGCCCTGGGCCACAACTACGGCGTCTACACCGTCACGGACCAGAGCCCGCGGCTAGCCAAAGAAATCGCCATAGGCCGCTGCTTCGACGGCTCCTCAGACGGCTTCTCCCGGGAGATGAAAGCAGACGCGGGTACAGCGGTCACTTTCCAGTGCCGGGAGCCCCCCGCCAGGCCGAGCCTCTTCCAGCGGCTTCTGGAGAATCCTGCATCCGCTCTGGGCGACATCCGCAGAGAGATGGGCCAGGCCACCCGGGAGGCCGGAGTTGCCCAAGCCCAGGCTGGGGACACAGGTGCCCTCGTTGTGCGCCCAGGACAGTGATCTGACCCACGACCTCACTGCCCTGCCTCGCTTTGGATTTATATTCTCTGGAAATTCTCTGCCCCCTTGGTCCCCAGACACCCGCCAGGTCACCAGGTTCCTGGGGCTGCTTCCCTCCTGCCCCTGCCCAGAATTTAGTCAAGGCAAAAACTGGGGCATCTGGCAACAGCGTTGAGCAGGCAGCTGTGGCTCTGTGACTAGAGGCAGCGAGGGTCCAGCCGTGGGTGGAGCCGCGGTGGTTCAGCTGAGGCCTGGGCCTCATTCCTGTCCAGTGCCATAGGCTCCTAGGCCTTGTCCTTTTATTTCAAATATCTCTCTTGTTCATGAGCTTTGTGGGGTTCCCTGCCTGAGCCTTCGCGCTGAGGTTATATTTATTGAAATAAAACCCCAACAGGTGGCTGGTTGTAAGTGGGTGTGAGTAGGAGTCTAGTTTGGCCCCGTGGAATACAGGGAAGGCTGGTCTTGGGGTCCCATGTAGGGGAAACTGGGGCTGCAGGGAAAGAACTCCATGGTGCTTGGGAATGTCCTCAGGGGTTTGGGGCAGGTGCTATGGGCTCAATTAAAAATGCTTTCTTTCCAACCCATGGTTGTCATTTGAAAGGGCTGCAGACTGGGGCTGCACCCCCAGGTTCAGGACTGATCTGAGGCTGGGCAGCTTTGATGTTGCAGGCTTGTGATCCTAGCACTGGGAGACTTGAGATCCAGGCCAGAAAACTGGAACCCACCAAAAAAGGAGAAAGGGCTTAGAATAGCACACCGAGTCCTGTGTGCCAGCAGCTAGGAAACTCTGTGGTATGGCACACTAGTGTCAGGTGCCGGGCTCAGAGGGTGTAGCACGTGTATGTAGAGTCACCTAGCTGAGGCCCTGGCCTCTTGGCATCTGGGCCTGGCTATGGGACCAGAACTGCAGGACAAGGAGGGGCTCTGGCAAGGAGCACCTGGGATGGGCAGCACCCACCACTGCCTGGGACATCCACCATTCCCTGGCTCCTCAGCAGGGGTGACTGTCCTGCCCTGGGTCTAGTCCAGGTAAGGCCAGGCCACACCTTAGCCAGTCACCAGCCCATGGCTCCCTAGCCCCAAAGAAATGGGAAATCTGGATGTGACAGAATCCTGATTTGCTCACACACTGTGGGCCGGTGTGGCCAGACTCTTCACAGCACACTGATCACACACTCATTTTCTAGACATCATGAGTTCCCACAGGAGTAGGGGCTCCTGAGTGGCCCCTCACCCTGCAACACCTACCCTGGATCTTTGGCCCTGGTGGGGGGTTATGAGAGGAGGAGGTGTTTTTGATTTGAGACCTCAAACTCATCAGGTAGTTGAAGATGATCCTGAACTCCTGCTTCCACTTCTTGAGTGCTGGGAACATAAACCTGGAAACACCAGGTTTCTGAGTTACTGGGGGTGGAACCCAGGGTTTTGTACATGCTAGGCAGGCACTCTACCAACTGAGCTGCAGCCCCAGCCCCAAGGAGGAGGGTCCTGCACCTACCTGATTCCCCACAGGGGGAGTCCTGCCAGGATGTGGTGACCCCCCTTACCAGGAGCATGCTGGGAGCTCTACACACTCCATTAGCCACCAGACAGATTTTGGCAACTGTGCGGACCCATGAGAGCTGGGGCAACAGCACACATCAGAAGCCCCAAATGCTCAGAGTCAGCCCCTGTGCACCTCTACCCCCAAAGGTCCCCATTCCTGCTGTACCCAAGACTGCTCAAGCCCTGGACACTCCCAAGCTACCCTGCATGGGGCATACCCCCGCCTAGGCCATCTTCCCAACACCACAAGCAGGTTTCCTGTACCCTGAGGACGACATGGGGCTTGGAGGGACAAGAAGAAGCTGGGATGACCAGGCATGCAGGCCCTGGTCTCTAAGGATGAGCTAGGGCTCTTTGGGAACCCTAAATGACAGGAGGGACAGAGAGACCTGTTCATCCTTAGCCCTAGTCAGGGCTGCCTGGGGGAGTCCAAGGCGTGGCCACCATGACTCCCAGCAGGCCTGTGGAGCCTGCCAGAGAGTCCAGGACCTGATGAGGTGTCAGGTCCTCGGGCCAAATACCTTTCATTGACAAAGTGTTTGGCCTTCTCTTGCTGCCAGCCCGGTTTGGGGTGGGGGGGCTGGCTTGGATCTGGCCCCTTCACTAGGGTGGGGTGGGGTCAGTGGCAGCCCCCAGAGTCCCCTCTCAAGCTGGGCCGGGAGGCCCATGGGGCCCTTCCCCTCTTGGACCATTCAGGAGGACACCATTTACTCCCAGTTTCCACATGAAGAAACTGAGGCCCCAAGAGAAACGAGCACCCCTAAGCTGTCAGCCGGCCTGCCCTCATTCTACCCTAGTGCCGAGTCCACTCCTCCCTCTTGGAACCTCAGACATGACTTCTGGAAAATCCATCACCAACCCCCCAGTAGGGCTGCCAGGACACGCCCCTTGGCCAGGAGGCAGGGACCCCCCCCCCAAAGACCCAGCTCCCACCACCCCAAGGTCAGTTCAGGGCACAGGAGGCCCAATGTCCCGCCCCCGGCATTTTAGACTTTATAATTTTAGAACCAGGGTTCTTAAAATTCCTCACACCATGGCAGAAAGGAAAATCTTGGACCAGTAAAATGCTTAAAACAAGTCTGAAAACAGCAGAATCAAAAAGGGAAGCGGCCAAAATGGATAGGCTCTGGGCAGCAGTCCTGGACACCATTAAGGATGTTTAATGTACAGATAGTGACCTGGGGTCCCAAGCTTTGCTTTTAGGGAGAATGACTGTTTTGGCCCCATTTTACAGCTGAAAGCTCTCACTTAGGGTCACACAGCTAGTGTGTGGCACACCACATGCTGAGGGACATAGCAACTGGATGGTTTTTGTCTGTTTTGAGACAGTGTCATGTAGTCCAGACTGGCCTCAAATTCAACACAAGGATGAAGAGGACCCTGAACTTCTGATCTTCCTACTTCTGTGTCCCCAGTACTAGGAGGACAGCTGTGAACTACCAGCTAGGAACTGGGTCTTGAAGGGTGTGGAGGAGTTTGCCGGAGAGGTGACAGAGGATGGGTGTTGCAGGCTGCTGGAAAAAATGTTTACAAAGGCCAGAGGGAAACCTTAGGCAGGCAGGAGACAGGGAGGGGGGCAGGGCTTCAATACCCAGCAAGGAACCTCCAGAGTCAATGGGAAGCCAGCGTTTCACTGGAGGGAGAGGGTCATACGATTTATTTTTTCTTTCTTTTCTTTCTGTGTGCACATGATATGTATGTATGGACATGTGTGTACCACACCATGTGTGTAGTGGTCAGAGAACAACTTGGAGGAGTCAGTTCTCTCCTTCCTCCTTATCTGGGTTCTGGGGACTGAACTCAGGCCCTCAGGCTTGGACAGCAAGTGTCTTTACCTATGGAACCATCTCACTGGTCCAGTCTTGAGTTACACGATTTCTCATGACAGATCTGCTCCCAGCTAGATTTAGCTTTTTGGAGGAGCTTCTTTGGTGGCACTGGGGTCTGTTTCTCCTATGTGACCCAGAGCCCCCTCCTCTACCATCTCAGTCCTGGCCAACATCCCTGGCTCCTCTGTAGGGACCTCGTGGGCCTGGTGCGGCCACCCACCACTTCCCTGAGTCTGTCTCTCTCATCAGTCTTGGAGGTGGGTCTGACCCAGTCTCAGACAGCCTGGCGGGGCCCTGGCCTCAGTCATTGGAGATGTGGGGGCATCGCTGGGGAAACCAGTCCATGTGAAGCTTTGGGGAAGGAATGGAGGCCTGATGCAGCCCTGGCAGGTGGTGGGGAGAGGACTAACATGGAGGAGCAAGGGAGGGCTAACTGTCAGAGTGGACGCAGGGAGACAGACATAGCCCCACCCAGGGCCACTGCCCAGGTCACAGAGCCAATGTGTCAGTCAAAGCCAGCCTGCCTGTCATAAGGACTGAGGTCAGGCTGTCCTCACCACACCCTGTCTCTGTCCCTTACAGTCAGAGATTCCCCTCTTTAATACTCAGCACCTTCTTGTCACCCAGTCAGTGACTTTCACCCTGGGGTACCTGCAAATGCACTAAGCAGGACCTGGGTTCTTTCAGGTCACAGGAGGACCAGCATGGTGTCCTGTGCCACAGGACCACGTCCCACCTGTGCCTGCACCACCATAGCTGCTCTAGCCTGGGATGATGGGTTGCCTGCCTCAGGCCCTGCCCTCAGACTTATCCTACAGAGGTCCAGCTTCCCACAGTTGGGTGTGCTGGGCATGTCCCACCCTCTCAGGGCCCCAGGAGGAGTGGACTGGGGAGCCACAGACCCCTGAGATTCTAGCCACTTTTGCACTGGAGGCTTGAATCCCTCCCTGTGCTGACTCAGCCCAGGACCACACCGCCAAACCTCAGCTATGTCCTCAAAGACTGCCTGGCCACGGAGCTGGGCTGAGGGCCAGCCCAGCGGAGGTGAGGCCTGGGCTCCACCCCCAGCTCTTCCTGCCTGAGGGCTTCAGGAGCCCTGAGCTCCCAGAGGGCCAAGCTATCCAGGTCTGGTAAGAGCCCAGTGTGGTACATTGCACACACATGTATGCACACGTGGGTACAGCCTGCTCCCAAGACGACTGCAGGAAGAGCTATGGGTAAATATCATTAGGGACTCCCAGAAACCTTGTCAGAAAGCCAAGGCAAAACCAGACACAGAAGCCCCTCCCTGCAGGGTCAGGGTTGGGTCAGCAAGAGGGCCAGGGGCTGGAAATGGTCAGAAGAGGCCCAGAGCAGACTTTCTGGAGGATGGGATTTTTTCCATGTGGGCTTTCAGGGATGACTAGGAGTTTTCCAAACCAGACTCAGAAGTTCAAAAGTATTGAATTTGATTTTTGTTTGTGAGGATTTCAAGCAGGGGAAGGAGACAGGTGAACCCCAATTCATTACTTACTTCTGAGGACTCAGCCTGTGTCTCCAAGAGCTTCCGGTCAGATGGGAGAGGCATAGCTCAGCACTGAGGGATGGAAGTGTGCTTAGGGTATACAGCCGGCCCTCAACTGTGTTAGATCCTACCAACCACACTTTGCTTTTTTTGTTGTTGTTGAGGCGGTCTCCCTGTAGCCTCAGCTAGTTTTGAACTCCCTATGTAGACCAGGCTGGCCTCTATCTCACAGAGATCCACTTGCTTCTGCCTCCTGATTGCTGGCATTAAAGGTGTACACAGAACTCTGTGCTCCAACACTTTAGCACAAGTTATCCGTTTGCTTATTTATTTATTTGGATGGGGTTTTGGCACTCAGTATCCTCCTGTCTTGCACTACTAATGTTGGGTTTTCTGTTTGGGGGTTTTCTGTTTATTTGGTATTGTTTATTTTGGTTCTTTTTTTTTTTTTTTGGTCTTATTGAGACAGGGTCTCCCTGTAGCCCCAACTGTCCTGGAACTCACTATGTAGACCAGGCTGGCCTCGAAATCATAAAGATCTGCCTGTCTCTGCCTCCCAAGTGCTGGGATTAAAGGCGTGCACCACCACACCCGGCATTTTGGTTCTTTTTTAGACAAGATTTCAGTATTTGGCCTGACTGGTCACTATGTAGACCAGGCTGGCCTCAAACTCACAGAGCTTGGTTTGCCACTGCCTCCCAA